TAATAGCCACTTTCCTTTTCCTTTCCTGCCGTATTTCCTGACCGATATGACCTTCAAACCTTCAAGAAAAGAGCGTACTCCTTCCTAAAAGGCCGGCAACGCGTTTGTGACTCCTGAGTTGCAGACGTTTATGGGCGGCGGTAGTCACTTTCCGTCAGGTGACCCGTCTGCTCGTCTAACATAAAAAAATTACCACTATCAGGAAATGACGAGCCTTGATTCCAAAAATGACCAGTTTCTTGAAATGATTACCTTATCGTAGAGTTTTCATAAAAGTGGTCATTCTGGGCAAGTAGTCATTTTAGGAAAGTGGTCTTATCCGGAAAGTGGTAATTTCAGGAAAGTGGTCATTTTCAACCTAAATGATATAAATATCTGGTAGTGACTTTCTGACTTTTCGATATTCCTTATCAATTCACCATTTAGGTGACTTGACAAATTAAATCAAAGTGAACTAGTTTGTGAAATATAATTTTCAAGAAATCGACAATGGTGCTAATTCTGTATATTAAATTAAACTAAAAATCACTAAAAATTGGTTTCGTCTTTTTACGTTTCCTGTTCTGAAAACGTAGAATTTGGCAAGACTAAATTTTTTTTTAGGGATTTTTAGTTTAGTTTAGAGAGTTTTTGAACAACATAATTAGCACCAATATCGTCTACTCGTTGCCTGATAGAAATCCTAAAAAAAAACACGGAAATATAGGTACATACAGAAATTCTTCAGGTATAAGTAAGTGTTTAAATGAAACTGTATAAGATTAACTACATTAACAGATAGATTTGTGTTTTTTACGCAAACAAAACGAAAAAATACTTTTTGTATAGGTACTTAAGTTATTCAGACAGCCTTCAAAACAATTCGTTAGAAATTTAAAGGACATCTAAAAACTTCTTAGATATGTACTTTTTATTTGCCGCCATTATACGTACAATTAGTAAAAATTTATACAAAACAATTGTTTGTTCACAATTTTATTACAGTTATAGAATAGAATAGAATAATCTTTATTGTACACCAATTCAGGATGGTATACATACAATAGTATTCCAAGTTAATGGCCATGTACAAATGGCGGCCTTATCGCTAAAAAGCAATATCTTACAGGCAACCTTTGGATGGACAATAGACTGTAAATAGGTTATTTCATGGGCAAATTTGGTGAGACAAAAGTGTAAAGGAAACAAAAAAAAACATATTATATGCATATTAGAGTCAAATTATTTACCTAAGCATCTCTTAATCCACTCATTTTTAATTACTGACTAGTGACTACACCGACGATCAATGGCGAGCTTGGCTGTCAGTTTCGGTGCTCGTAGCGTCCCTTTTTTTATGTGCACTGGCTGTTCCCGTGGTGGTAGTGTAAAATAAATTTCAAAGGTGTACCCCTGGCCGTAAAACCCGACATTACACGGTTTCTTTCTAGATAACTATAACAAATTATTATTTGATTATTGTAGTGGAACACATTAGTTAGTTTTTATCTTAGAGCTGGGCCTTTTACTGAAGATATAAGATGTTATGGGCGTGTTTCTACAGAGACCTTGCAGTGCCAACTAGCGCTGCAAGAATCAGAACCACTCGTATTAACCATAATCTTAATAGATGTATTTTAGTCGATACTAGATGGAGCTGTCCTCCACATTCCATACAATCGAACCATGCTCAACTATTTAATAATTTATCAAGTTCTATTAGACACAAAATTTAAATATATTAAAAAAATATTAAAAGCCCACTTGCTAAACGAAATTAAATAAAAAAAAACTGTAAAACTATATCCATTTAAAGTAACCTATTGTCATATGTATATGTATATTTAATACATAAATTAACAATTAAATTAATCACTTATTAAAGATGTACAACGCTCAACCGAACTTGTTAGTCAACAAAGATCGCATCTATCTTTGTAATGTGTGCATTGTATTTGGCCTAATATATGAATGTAGGTAGGATTAAAATAATTTTGTTTCTGTTTAGGTTTATAAAATTTAAGTCAATAGGACTGCCTATGTATGTATGTCTACCACCTTTCCTGAAATTTGTGAAATGTAAGCTTATTAACCACATATTTATAATAACTTTTGTTTGATACTTTGATACTGTTTGAGGATTTGTTGTTGAAATTGGTGAAAGGTAATTATTTCAAATTTTTTGTTATTTTACATACATTTAGACCTTTATTGTCACGTAATATTTATTTGTTACCGATGCGTGCTCGTCGGAATATTTAATAAATGTACAAAATCTTATGAGAACAAAGATTTCGGAAACCAATAAGTTGATTTAGTGAAAAATACATTGTCTTCATTTTAGGAACCATGCTGTATAAATGACAGTTGAATGACAAAGATGACATTTTTTTCTGTCGTGACATTTTGTGAAACAGAGAACATTTTGACAGACAGTGAAAATGATAATAAGACATGCCTAAAGAACTTATAAATGTTAGAGGAAGCGAACACGACGTTATCGCATACGGTTGGTAGAGAGAGAAAAATTGTTTGTCTTGCATCTCTCGTTGCTCTTGTCACTGATTGCCTATTTTAAATGCCCGATGAGCCATTCAGTACAGACATCAAAAGGAGATGAAAGACTAAAACAGACCGGGCACGTTCCAGCCTGCAGATATTAAAATTTCAAAATAAAAAAATCTCATTTTATAGATCTCAATTAGCCCTTTCGACCTACGTTAATTAATTTATAAGCCCGTTTTTCATTTTCCCAGGAAAAATAGAAATATAATTTTCAATTTTCCTCTACTTAAAATAGCCCTATCTCTTTGAAAAATGATTATTTTTTACTCACTTACTCACATCGTCAACTGCAGATCAGCTGATGATACACGCAAAAAGGACTTTAAAAGTTATTATATTACTGTTTCGGTTTTTCAGTACTATTGGATTCATTATTATGTGCCTTTGGTAGTTTGATGTGTATGTGTAAATTTATAATTAAAATTTTCAAGAATTGAAACAAAGAAATAAACCAAAAAACATAGCTATTTTATTAATAAATATTTACATTTCTTCCTTTGTTTAAAAATGTATGTATGCAAATCAGCAGAAAAATGAAATCTCCATGATTCCGTGACTAGTCAATAACACCTATTAAAATAGTTAGCTGCTTCCTCTTGGCTTGGAAGTTTACTTTGTAAAGTCTTGAAACGCTTAATAGAAAGTCGTCGAAAAAACGTTTTCGTAGAGCTCAGCTTTGCAATGCAAAATCTGCACTAAGTGTACATGATTTGTACACTTAAACTGCTGACTACTCCCTAGAAATAAGAGTAAAGACACACCAAACTACCAAAGGCACATAATAATGAATCCAATAGTACTGAAAAACTTCCCGAAACAGTAATATAATAACTTTTAAAGTCCTTCCGTGCGTGTAGCATCAGCTGATCTGCAGTTGATGATGTGAGTATCACCTTTATTCTGTCGCGCATGCGCAATGCGCAAATAATTGGCTTGGAAATGCCACGACGGTTTTTTATTGTTAACAATAATAATTATTGAATATTTTTAAGAATTAGCGGGCAAAATAAATTAGCGCAAGGGCAATTTTTTCACGCTTGGTACAGTAAAAAATAATCATTTTTCAAAGAGATATGGCTATTTTAAGTAGAGGAAAATTGAAAATTATATTTCCATTTTTCCTGGGAAAACGAAAAACGGGCTTATAAATTAATTAACGTAGGTCGAAAGGGCTAATTGAGATCTATAAAATGAGATTTTTATTATTTAGAAATTTTAACATCTGCAGGCTGGAACGTACCCGGTCTAAAACAGTCTTCCGGTAGACAGAGAGGCAGACAGAGTGGCTACCACTCACAGTTGGCTTCCTTTCTTTATATTCTCTATGCTGTTGCCAGTGTTAACTCTCTTATTGGTGTTGCTAGTAAAAAAATGCAGTGTCAAAAGACAATTGGTGCTGCCAGTGGTAACCTTAGTTTTTCACCAGGAAGATAAAATGTAGTTAGTTTTACTTTTTAAGTCTTGCAACACCAATAGTCCTTTTGTCAGATTTCAGTGGCTGACGTTATAGAGGTGTCCAAGATTATAATTAATTGAAAGTAAAACTAAGTATTTAATATTATATTATGCATTTAGATATAGGCATGCGTTGAGTAAGACCGTTTGAAGTAATTCAACGCTGAACTAGATTACCCCAAGTTCCAACGTGTCACTTTTAATTTTTAAATAAGGCCTTGAAGAAGAACAAAGGAGAGAGGATTAATCTCCCTGTATACTTACTTCTTTGGTTAGACTACACGACAAATATTCCCTTTTGTCGGTGACGTAGGTATTTCCTAGCGAAAAGAAGTCATCATAAGGATTCATTTATGTATGCATTTATGATGCATTTATGTATTCGTGAGTTCTGAACGTTCGTTTAATAATTAATTAATTGAAAGAACCGTTAAATATCCCTAACTATTTATGTCCTTGTGCAAGAGTTATATTGACTTTTGTAACTTTTGTACTGACAAATCTGTATGTACCACTGACCACATAAAGACAAGTGTTGATGATCAAAAATTATAATTGGACAAGTTATAATCGGTTAAAAAGAAATTAAATAATACTCATATGATCTCTTGTTTTTTTTACACATTTTTATGATTGCGTGATTTTATTGTGGGACTCATTTGGATTTCTTTTCTTTTAAATTGCATTTTTCTACTAATTTATAATTTTATACGCATTCAAAATAATATTTACATAGCTCTCGTTCAGCCAATCAAATGTCAGCGCGTTCTATTAATATCACAAGCTAAAGACAAAATCGATATCGATTCAACGAGGTAGTTAGTTGGTGGCGGTAGTGTCAAGCACTACAAAGCAAGCCGCCCGCCGGCCGCCATCTTAGGACGACATTTGTTGATTTCCTTATTAAGTTAGTAAGTGATTTGCTCTCATTATTTCAACAAATCTCTTTGTTGATTATGAGGACATAGGTTTTTCGTGGAGGTTTTGTGATAACATTCAAGATGGAAGAGGAATATATGGACACACAAGACTCTTCAGTGAATGATATGAACAGAGGTGATGGAAGTGATAATTTAGTGGATAGCACCAAGGATTTTGGTGATGGTTTAGGGTACGGAGATGAAGGTTATGAAGATGATGAAGGCGGCAACGGTTTTAGAGGAGGTCGCGGCCGGGGCAATTTCAGGTAAAATCAAAATGTCGCCACATTTTTCATATATATATATCTACTTTGAAGTACTTGCGTAGTTATATATAAGCCTTATTTTGTTACTTTAGAAATATTATGTGCTAAACCAAATATTTTTCGTATAAATTATTCGCATATTGATGAGACCTTGTTCTTTCTATAATGATTTATTTCCTTCTATTGCAATAGACTGCTGGTATTTATTGAACAAACTGATGGCTGTTTGAAAATATTTTTTGTAGCGTGTTATTTATTTATTCCTCAAAAACTTAAGATGTATCCTACACGGATATATCTTTAATTAAAGACCATGAAACATCCATACTTTAAATAAAGGCCTAAAAAAAAGCTTGTATGCTAAATTTATTCGAGATGTACTAGTGTGTAGTGCCTTGCAGACGCATGCTAAGCCGTTATTAATACATGAACGTTAAAACCTAAGTATTAATTCCTTATTTTGTTTTATCTAGACATAGTTTTGCTGTTGTTGTAGCTGTTTAGACTTTTGTAAGCACACAAGTAACGGAGGAAGACTTGGGTCAGGAATCTGTTTATTAATAGCAACTAGAGATCACTAGGCGGTTTTATTTGAACCATTTTCAATGTTTTAAAGACTTGTACCATCACCGGTCAACCTAACAATGATAAAAACGTACATAATGGTATCTCTGCTAATGCCTTCTTCTTTAACTATGCGTGTTAGTACACGTTTGAATTTCTGCATGTTTTACTTTTGACTTTATGCATGTTTGTGATTTTGACTTTATCCTTTAGCATATGATCCAAAATATATACGCAACTCCACTAGTTATTATATGTTGCTTGCACTTTAGTCAATTTTTTTAGCTGTGCACTTTTTCTGTATATAATCGTAAAGTATTTCAAATGTAGCAGACGCCTGTGTACCATAGGGATTAATGGATGGGAAGCCAGTAGACATGGACAAAATCACAGTAAACTATCATTCGTCATTTATCATTCTTTCATTTGCGTACGTAGGTTAGGGTTGGTAAATATTATTATTATTATTTCTTTATTTAATTCTTTATACCTACATATAAATTACATTTATAAATATATTTATATACAAAAAAAAAATACATTTAAAAATATAAAAAATAGTATCCCATCGGTATCGGGTACAGAGACCAAGATATCGGTGGTTAGGACTCCAGAGACAGAAACTTCCTCACAATACGTGCTGTATAGAGAAGAACTGCTTTCTGCATCAGACCCTTAATTATTATTATTATTAGTATATTTAATACACTAACAGCTTAAGGCTGATGCGTGTATATCATTACACTTGTGCATTTAAACTCAAACTCAAACTTTCTTTATTTTATAAAATTTCCAAAATTGTTTGAAATCGTCTTCCATGTAGACTCTAGTCATAGATCAACACACACAAAAGCAACAATCTCTGTTTTGTCAAATAGTAACCAAATAAATTTAACAAAAATCAAACCCATACAAAATCTATGATATGTCTGTGCTATGAAATGTTTATCAAGTCTATTTTTAAAAATGTTAATACTCTGGGCACCTATCACAGTTTCCGACAAAGAGTTCCACATATGCACTACTCGGTTAGGCAAAAAATGTTTTCTGGGATTACTAGTACACAGGTGCTTGCTAAGCTTCATGGAATGACCCCTTAGGTAGTTTGAACGCTATTTACCAAAAAGGATCTTCATGTATCCTTCAAAAAGCAGCTTATTAGCAAGAATATGTGAGTAAGTAGTAATCCTAAAAACCTATGTACGAAAAAATCAAATGATAAATCACTGGTCTTTCACAGTTCACTGATTTTGTCCCATGCCTACAAGCCAGTAAGATGGGCATAGACTAGCGTTTAGATCTGGCATAGACTGTGGGAGTACTCAACTGGAGTTACAGCACAGATTTACAGAAAACCTGTATTAGGCAATTGCTTTCTTGCTTTTCACATAGTGAGTGAAGCTACCAAGGAATAAACTCCCTCTGATTCTATGGGGGATTGTGAGTTGTAAGTTCATGGTTGGTTGTCCATGGGGGTAGCGATGGAATAAAATCACAATCACCTGTGATAAATCATATAATCACAACTGTGACTAGTTTACAACACCAATGCGATTACTATTATTATGCTAGTGAGGCACTCCCTACAGGTTGCTATAGTTAAACCGCCATAAGCTTGGCCCTCCTGATGGATTGCGGGACGCGGGGCGGGTGATGCGCTCGGCTATACATGACAATGTACTATCTTCAGATTTATTTGTTTGAGATTTAATCTACACAAGATGTTATAAAAATCGAATTTATTTCCATGTATTACAATGTCAGTGTATTGTAAGTTTTTATGATTAATTGTAAAATTTAATACTGTAAAATAATTTTAATAAAATCACCTTATCTTCATTATGTAAATTATATTCAGATACAATTTAAAAATTAAGTAAAATAATAAATATTCTTAAACCAGATATTCTTTATTAGAACTTTAACAGTAGAACCTCTGTAAGCCGAACTTCAAGTTTTTAAATCTTTTTGTGACGCAGAGTCGGCAGATTATCCATGTTGCAAAATAATACCATGTGTAGCAGTGTTAAGAAAAATAACACGTACAGCCATGCTTTCACGTCAGTCACTGACGGCGGACAGCGACGCACTAGCTAATTGGTTGAACGCACCCCCGCCCTGCGGCCCCCAAACCATCAGGAGGGCCAAGCTTACGGCGGTTTAACTATAAAATCAATTATTTTCATGGCATTTATGTTTGTCCATGATCAAATCAGAGGTAAGGTAGGTTAGTTTTGCAAAAACGGGGCAGATTTATTCTTTTGAGAGATAAAGTGCGGTGCAGATGGTAATAACATACACATATTACTGTTTAAATAGATAAAATAAACATAAACGCATATACACGCATATAAAAAACAGCTAGTCCGTGTGGTGACGGATTAAGAATACAGATTGTCACAACCCCTATTCATCCCGTGGGTGTTGTAAGAGTCAACTAAGGGAGCAAACTACGCAGGACAACAACACTGCAGAGAGAAGGAAAACTTGACACAAACCCTATACCAAACCGTCTGGCCAGTGTGGTATAGTAGGCCAAAACCTCCTTTCTAAGGAGAGGCCTATGTCCAGCAGTGGCCTAGTATAGGCTGTTGATGTGATGTGAAATTTTAAGGCAGAAGTTTTAGAGTTATAGATTGAATGTAAATAATGAATTGCCATCTTTTTTCTTAAATAACTTTCAATATTTGAGACCCTCACAAAATTCCTTGTTATATTTGACCCCCAAAATTCATTTATTTAGGTTTCAAATCAGTGTTTAACTCAGAGGTATTCATGTATGTACCAAACTATCTATAAATCAGTACATTCAGACAAACTTGGCTGTGACAGATAAACAGATGGAGACAGAGATTTGTAAATACAGAAACTGGTGGTAGCATACCTTTTATGTAAAAAGACTCTTCTAAGTAATCAATGTTTATGGTTTATAAGTCACAATACACAAGAATATCTGAGGTCATTTTCATGAGATAAGTGGGTAAAGAAAAGTCTTGGTATTTTGTTTACATGAGTTAATAATGAGTGTTTGTCTGTTGGCTAGCGATCCTTTCTGATAATTCAGAGGTTGTGTGTTCTATTCCCACCCTTTGTTTTTTTTTTTTTTTTTTTTTACGTGCGGAAATCCACTCCCCCTATCGGTGGCATGTCGGACTCGAACCGACTAAAACCGCACGCCGTCTCGGGTACTAATAGCCGGGGAACCAGGTATACCCTAGAAAGGAAGTCTCTGGTGCCCCGACATACCTCGGGTCATCTACAGACGAGTAGACGACCCCCCCCCCCGTTTGGGAACCCCATGTTCCCTGTGCTCCCTGGAAGCGAGCGCGCTTCGCAACGCGCTCGCCGCCACCCCGGCCTGCTTCTGCTAGGGTGACAGATGGCCTCACCTGTCACCCCCAGGCCTGCGCTTATGGAGGACGGAGGTCGTTCTGCGACCTCCGGCGCCTGAGTCGCCTGCGGTACCTGGCCCGTTCCCGAGCCTTGCTGGCCGGGAGAGTCCTAAGCCTCTCCCGGTCCCGCTCTGTCGTCTCCTTCGCGAGCATAACTTGCTCGCAGAAGGAGACGGCAGAGTTCCACGCACTCTCGCTCCGCACGATAGCCGCAATCAGGCTATCGAGCGAGAGAACTCCCACTCCGATGGCCGCCACGAGGTCTCGCCTCTGCTCAACCCACGCCGGGCACTGCCAGCGTGTGGAGAGCCGTGTCCACGGTCTGGCCATCGCAGTGGTGGCAGTCAGGCGTTGGCTCCTTGCAAATCAGACACAGTTGATCCCCGAAACATCCTTTCCCAGTGATCACCTGCGTCAGTCGGTATGAGAGGGTCCCGTGACGCCTCTCGAGCCAATCCTCCATAACGGGTCTTACCGCCGCGATGACGGCGTGCCCGAACTAGGTATACCCTAGAAAGGAAGTCCCTGGTGCAATGTTCTATTCCCACCCAGGACAAATATTGTCTAATGAGCATGATATTTGGTTCTGTGTCTGAGTGTCATTTATCTATACTATGGATGTATTTAGAAGTATGGAGGATATTAAGTAAAATAAGAAGTTTATAATAACTTAATTTTACAACGTTATAATATTGCCACTAACAACAGTCCTGCTTAATAAAATAAAAGACATAACATGTGGTGACGGATTAAGAATACAGAGACTGTCGTAAGAGTGGACTAAAGGAGTAAAAGAGAAGGAAAACTTGACACAAACCCTATACCAACCCGTCTGGCCAGCGTGGTATAGTAGGCCAAAACCTCCTGTCTAAGGAGAGTTCTATGTCCAGCAGTGGACTATTAAAGGCTGTTGATGTGTGATGAAGACATCTTCATCACATGATGTGTGTGAAATATTATTAATCTGTGTCATGGTATCAGACTTACACATACTTGTCACCTGCTTCTCTGGAGCAAACATCACTTAATAGATCCCATGCTAAAAACCATCATTTTGTCCCAAACAATCTGACACGAATTAATTTTGAACAGAAGCAGAGGCCGTGGACCCCCACCTGGCTGGATGAATGGACCTCCAATGAGGTTTCGAGGACGCGGATACGGCCCTGGAGGCCCACCTATGAGAGGAAGAGGCTTCTTCCGCGGCCGTGGAGGCCCAAGAGGATTTGGCCCTAACAATGGCCCAAACTACGACAACAACTGGGGTCCAATGGGACCCCCTCCACCTGGCATGATGGGTGGTCCTCCCCCTGGTATGATGGGTGGCCCACCACCGTTTGGGCCCCCACCGGGTATGATGCCGCCTGGTGGACCAATGGGACCACCTCCAAATATGATGGGACAGCCCCCACCGTTTGGTGGACCTCCGGGAATGCCACCACCGAATATGGTAAGTGGTATATTTGTATAACTTTCTTATTCTTTTCATGCTGCTGCCTTGGTTTTGTATTAATTCAATGTTTCTTCTCCATCAGCCTGCTCCAGAACTGTGGGTGGAAACAAAATCAGATGATGGAAAGTATTATTACTACCATTCTCGGACAAGGGAGACGACCTGGACGCGGCCACAAGAGACTCCAACGTGTAAAGTCATTTCACAAGCTGATGTGGAAGCTATGGCTGTGGGTAAGGGAGTGTCATTCAGATATATAGATAATCTACGTACGCCATGAAATGTTTTAGAACAAACTGAAAGTTAAAATGAATCATGTAGTGCAATGACCCCCGAATTGATGATGAACCTGTTGGTCTAGTGGTTAGTGACCCTTACTGCGAAGCCAGAGGTTGTGGGTTCAAACTCTCTTTATTTCATAAAATTTTCAAAATTGTTTGAAATCGTCTTTTATGTAGGCTCTAAAGTCATAGATCAACACACACAAAAGCAACAATCTCTGTTTTGTCAAATAGTAAGCAAATAAATTTAACAAAAATCAAACCCATACAAAATCTATGATATGCCTGTGCCGATCTACAACTGCCCGTTTCCAAGGGGTTGAGCCTTATGAGAAGAAGGGGAAACAAACTCATTGCCACTCTTTTGCAATTCACAGATAGATACAATGGCACTATTAAATATACCACAACATTGACGACTGGATGGTGTAGTGGTTTGTGTAACGGACTGCTATTCCAAAGGTCGCGGGTTCGATTCCCGCTCAGGTCAAACATTTGTGTGCATGAACATTTGATGTTTGATTTGGTCTGGGTGTTCCTATGTATAATATGTATGTATTTACAAAAAAAAAGTATATATGTATTTATATCAGTTGTCTAGTACCCATAGTACAAGCTCTGCTTAGTTTGGGATTAGATGGCGTTGTGTGTATGTGGTAGAATATTATTATTATTTTATTATTATTGTTTTGATGTGTGCTAGTATGTAGGTTCGATTCCTACCCAGGATTTTTGCTGAAATGTGTGATGAGCAGTATTCTTTGTTTATTGTTTTAATTACTGTGTATTTAGAAATGTCAAAGTATGTTCCAGCAGTCTGGTTACCACAGTACCACAGTAGTTTGGTATCAGACGGCTGTGTGTATCTTACGTTATTAGGTTACTGTTATTTTGGGGGGGCTCTTGTGACTCTTGAGTACCCCCTATAAGCGCCTAAGTCCGATCTCTGTAACCTGCCTTTTTCATAACAGCTACTACCCAAAACCAAGTTCCTGGGCCTCAAAACGTGGGCATGAACGGACCAATGGGTGGCCCTATGGGCATGATGTCTAATGGGATGATGCCAACTGGCGTCATGCCTCCAGGAGTGCACGGAGGTCCACAAGGCAATGGGGTGCCACCGTTCATGACTCAGCCTCCTCCATGGGTCAAAGAAAGTAAGTCGCATTTGTGTTTTCAACTAAGATTCTTTTTTATCTTGAGTATATGTGAATAAAATAATGATATCTTTTTATAAAATGGCATAACAGGATGTGCTATAGAAATTAGTATGAACATTCTTTTTAGTTATTTATTTATTTTATATCAACGACTGGATGGCGTAGTGGTTTGTATAACGGACTGCTATTCCAAAGGTCGCGGGTTCGATTCTGTGGGGCTAGGTGCACTAACATTGATATGTAAATTAAACGAAAGAAGTTTAAGTTTGTTCTTAAAGTTTATTCTACTTTAGCCATGTGTATATAAATTTTTCGACGATTTTGTAAAGTATAATTTTATTACTATTTAATAATTGTATTTTATTATATAAATTAGTCAGATTTTATCATAAATACCATCTTTCCTTAACAATATCTATCAGTCCTGTGTATGGTTCACGTCTACTTACAGGTAAATTAGCTTGAAGAAATTTTTGCGTTTGTAGTAGTGTATGGTTGTGCGTGTTTCCACTTTCCACTATCAAGTGACGATTTTTTGCTTTAGATTGAAATATCTCGGAAACGGTGCGTCCTAGGCCAAAAATAACAAAAATTTTGACCCCCCGTAGACCCCCGAGTTTTAAAAACCTAGGTAAAAGGAAAAAAAAAAAAATTTAAATATCGGTCTCTCTTTGAAGTTTCACTTCTATCGTGTGTGAATCGCACACACACCTTTTTTTTTATAAAGTCAAAACCTTTTTCTTTAAAATAAAAACTTGTTTTTATTGAAAGCAAAAATCAGAGTGTTGCTAGGGATAAGTATAAAATTAAATAGTAATGTTAGGATATCGAAACATTTTTGTATAGGCCAGAACGATGTAGTGGAAACGCGCTCTAAGATCTGAGTAATATACACACCACTACATATGCAAAAATTTCTCGAGACTAATTTCACTGTAACAGATATTCAGGCAGACACGTTTTAGGCTAACCTCACATTGCGCGTGCTTGTTCCTCGAGCGTGTCAGCGTAAAAAAAAAAGAGCTATGACGCCATGCCAAACTAGTAGATGCGCCATCTGTTTTTCAGTTACGGAACTCAACTTTGCTTTGACAAGTGTCGTTTCTCAATAAAAGATGGCGTTACGTGTCTTAATTTGGTGCGATCTCAATTCAATATGTTTTGTATTTCAGGTAAAGACAAACAAGCAGATGACCCAAGCGGTACAGAGCCAATGAATGAAGATATGCCACCTGGAGAGTCCAACTCAATCGCTCAAACAGCTAACGGTAAGAGATATAAATTTATTCTTCATAAATACCTTATAGACCTATAGATATACCTTGTTGGTGTATTGGTTAGTGAGCCTGACTGCTACGCCAGGTCACGGATTCAATTTCCACTTAGGAAATTTACAAATGATTGTGTGATAAGCACGGTCACTTGTACTGTTTGGGTGTAAATTTTTATATAATGGATGTATTCAGAAATACTCCTGAGTTGCAGGCGTTCATGGACGCCGGTAGTCACTTTCCATCAGGTGGCCCATCGCCTTGTACCATAGTAGAGACTGCGAATTTGCTATATTTGTTATTATTATAGCTCCAGCAGGTCTTACATTAAGTTTTTCTCTGTGCCAGGTAACATGGTGTCTGGTTTCCCACCCGCCCAAGGCTTTCCGGGCGGTTCGTACCCAGGTATGACCGGCGCGGGACCCGGAGGTGCGCCAGGTTGGGGCGCTGGCGGTGGGGGTGGCCCCGCCGCTTGGGGACACTGGCCCCCGCCGCTCGTGGCCCAGCCGCCACCCACCATCGCGAGCAACATACCTGACTCGAGTAAGTTCATCAATGTCTTTTAAAGCTTGAAGGGTTTTGTATTTAGTAGAATATAAAAGATATACTACTCGTCAACATCATATTCCTGTCTTTTTTAGGGTTCGGTACCCAAAGGGTAAAGCGGGACCCTATTACTAAGACTCCGCTGTCCGTCTGTCACCAGGCTGTATCTCATGAACCGTTATAGTTACAGTTTAAATTTTCACAGATGTATTTCTGTTGTACAGCAACAAATACTAAAACAGAATCACATCACATCACATCAACAGCCTATACTAGTCCACTGCTGGACATAGGCCTCTCCTTAGAAAGGAGGTTTTGGCCTACTATACCACGCTGGCCAGACGGGTTGGTATAGGGTTTGTTTCAAGTTTTCCTTCTCTTTGCAGTGCTGTTGTCCTGCTTAGTTTGCTCCCTACTAAAACAGAATAAAATAAATATTAAGGGGGGGGGGGGGGGGGGGGGGGGGGGGTTCCTATACAACAAACGTGATTTGATTTGCTCGATTTGCTCGATATTGATAACGGCAACAGGTAGACATTTGATATATTTACAGAATATTTAGTATATATTCTCTTTAAAAATAAAACAAATACGATAATGGTACGGAACCCTTCGTGCGCGAGTCCGACTCGCACTTGGCCTGTTTTTTTAATTAATTTGAAGTCAGCCTATGATAGAAACAACTAGTGAATACTCATACTTTAAAGCTGAAAAGTTTCTTTGGTTCAAATAAATCGTATAGTGTTAGTTAGAACATTTAACGACTGAGAGGAGAGCAGAGCATCAGTGTTAAAACAAGGAAAATTCCTTTTGAGAGACGCAGACAAACTTACGCGGGTCATCTAGTATGACATATAGTAAAATACCTATTTGATACAGCTACCCAAATCCCAGGGTTGGGTGCAGCTCGAGACTCCGTGCCCCGCGACAACTCGATGGAGCCCACGCTGATCACCGACTCGCCCTCGTCCAGCCAGCCACCAGAGAAGAAGGAAACTGTGAGTTCTGGCATATACCTTATCTTTATTTACTAATATAGTTTAGGTAGGTTCATCATCAAAGCGACTGACAGCCCTCTGTGCAGAGGATGTCTGGAAGCAGTCACGGCTGTCCACTTAATCCTGGTGTGGTCACACAGCGGGCCAGTATCATTCCCGTTACAAAATCGCTCCTAGAAGCCCTTGAACACCCCAGGAGGCTTCTGCGCTTCTGGAAGGAGCTTGGTTGGCTCACCTAGCTAACCAGTCCTCGACATATAAAGGACTCTTGAGTCTAAATACGGAAACCGAAGCCCAAAACCAATACCAATAGATAGATCATTTTTGGGGGAGCCATGCATGTAAACCGGTGTTAAGGATTTTTTTCCATTTCGGGGGGATTTCGGGCGTGCAAATGATAGCATATCACTCGTATCTCTAGAGTGTCCATGGGCAGCAGTATGCACCTGCTCTCAGGTGACCGGTCTGCTCGTTTGCCCCCTTATACCATAAAAAAGGGGTATAAAAGTATTCCATCAGTCAATCTAGCTTTCATAGTACAAACTCTGCTTAGTTTGAAACTAGATGGCGTTGTGTGTCAGATGTCCGAAAATATTATTATTATATAAGTATGTTTACCAGCAGTCTGGTTAGTACAGGACAGGCTCTGCTTAGTTTGGGATCAGACTGTCATGTGTGAGATGTGTCAAATTATTATAATTGTTGTTATATTTCCTATAGACGATCCCGCCAGAGCTAATGGCTCTTGCATCAGAGTGGACAACACACCGGGCCCCAGACGGCCGCCCCTACTACTACCACGCTGGTAAACAGGAGAGCGTGTGGGAGAAACCGAAGGCTTTGAAGGAGCTAGAAGGTAGGCACACAAATGCCTCTCGCAACCATAATACTTAATTTTTGATATTAAGAAACGCAAGCAATGTATTGCACAATAATATCTTAAGAACTAATATGCGTAATGCTTTGTTCTGGTACAGGGATTCCCAAACTATTTTGGGCAAAAGACCCCTTTTCTAAAATGAACTGATACCTCAGACCCCCATAGCCAAATTAGTGGACGCTTATCGACTTGAGTTTTATAAAAATACGACAATGACACTTCCTACTAAAATCGTCCGTGTGGTGACGGATTAAGAATACGGAGTGTCACTACCCCTATTCATCCTGTGGGTGTCGTAAGAGCCGACTAAGGGAGCTAACGAAGGACAACCAGCACTGCAAAGAGAAGAAAACCTAGACACAAACCCTATACCAACCCGTATGGCCAGCGTGGTGTAGTAGGCCAAAACCTCCTTTCTAAACCCAATTTCATGGCACATAATAAAAAAAAAAAGTAATTTTTATTTCATTATCATCATCATCAACAGCCTTAAATAGTCCACTCTTTTATTTAGGCCTGTATGTCCTTGGAAAGGAGGTTTTGGTCTATTTCTCTATATACCAGACCTATTTCTTAGCGTTCCATGTATTAAACTTCCGGGTCTATCGCGTGCTAGATGGGGGGCAACACCCAAATATAGGTTTAGGGAGTACTCCTTGTGACGCGTCAGCGCTCTCCTCCACTGTCTGCTGTGTTACCCCCTCTACCTAACCATATTTGATACGAGCCCAGCAATGCCGCTTGGGATATCCGTTCAAGAAAAGAGCTAAGAAGACGAAGAAAAGAATAATAAAACCCTGTATATATTTCTAGCTTTTCACCACTCTTCTTCCTTACAGAACTTCAAGCTATTATAATGAAGGAGAAAGGAGAGAGATTCAAAAGGGAGTATGATGGAAAAGTGGTGGATCTGGAGTCAGATGCTGGTGAGTGTTAAAGTTCTTCAATTCCATATAATTTATGTTTTATAAATTATATTTTAAGTAGTCTATTAGAAGTTGAAACAAAAATTATACATACATAGTGACTGCTGAGTTATAAAAAAATCTCCCTTCATATGGATTAAAATTAAATAAGTAAGAATTTACCCAAACCTCCTTTCTAAGGAGAGGCCCATGTCCAGCAGTGGACTCTTAAAGGCTGTTGATGAATTCGTAAAAACGATTGTAAACTAGTATATTTTGAATCAAATCAAACTCAAAATTTAATCACGTTATAATATTTTCTACTATTGAAAGTAGTTATTATTAGTAACGTTTAAATCTCCAACCCCCCATATCAGACTTCTTAAAAGTATCAAGTTTTAGAAAAGCGATCTTCCCGCGCACAACCATTTTGTTTTATCCCCGTCAAGATGGCGTTCTTGACACAATGTTGCCAACACTATGAACTGTATTAATTATTTATATATAAATAAAAAACACATACTTCTAACAAATTAGTGAAAAGATATTTTTTTAATTGATATGTGTATGTATTGTTATTATAATATTAATATGTATATTCGTACGATATGAGCTCAAAAACCGTTGAACCAATTTTGATGATACTCTCAGGCAATCTTGACAAACTTAAACAAACTTTAACTTCTGTGAATTTTTTATTGACTAGTTTTGCTTAAATAATAAAATTTTATAAAAATATAATAATGCAATGAGTTGTGTAAAAAATTCAACACCATTCAGTAAAGAACCGCATGTGTTGCAAAGCATAAATAAATTACATAAAAATAACGGAAAAAATAAACATTGATGTTTGGGTCAGGGAACCCAGAACCTCTTGATCCTAGATCTGACCATTGGTTTCCGATCTTATAGAGAACAAACATTGGTTTTTATTTATATAGATAGACTGGCTATCGCCCGCAGGCTCGCTCACGTTAACATTTTTTATTACGGGTTTCTAAACAAAAATATAAGGGACTTCCATGCAATTGTTCACCCTTATTTTACACCCGTAGAGGTAAAATTTCCAAAAAAGCCTTTCTTGGTGGGTGCTTACAACATAAAAAGCATTAGCTGTTAAAATGTCAAGTTTGTTTCCCCAGCGGTTTAACCTCTGCGTTGATAAGCCAGTCAGTCCGGGCAGCCATTTTATATGTGTAAATAATATTGTATATGTAGATAATTAATTAAAATAATACGCTTTTTCCTGCTTTCCTTTATCGGACCTGAACCAACAGAGGATTATGGTATTGTTATATATTTAATGCATTTATGCGATTTTTTTTTTATTAATGTTGTGTACACATTTTTAATCATTTATTTATTTATTTATACTATATTGATTCTATTCCAAATTATGGTGTGATTTGCAAATATTTGTTTCGGAGTTTGGGTGTTTTCTGTGTATTATATGTACAAAAAAAGTATATAAGTATTCTATCAGTCAATCTAGCTTTCATAGTACAAGCTCTGCTTAGTTTGAAACTAGATGGTGTTGTGTGATATCCGAAATATTATGTACAAAATTCTTTCTTATTTTTCTTTTATAAAGACAACTCTCGCACTTGGAATATATCTTGTATCGTGGGGGACTTTACAAACATACATGTAACACCCAGACTCAGAACAACAACTTGTGGTTCACACAAATTGGCGAGGTGACCGCTTGTACCCATGTCATCCATTTAATCATTGCACAAATCGTACACTAGTGGACTTAATTTCATAGGCGTCCTATGACAGTCTTCCTTAAAGGGGGTGGTTAGGTTAGAAATGAATGATTAGGTGCACTACAGTTAATTAAAGAGTGTACTTTGTGACCCATTTTATCCCATCTTGCCTCAATCTTCAACCACACTAGTTTTCATGTAATTTTTCATAAATATGGTTTTAAAAAACAAAATAGCTAAAATGTCTTTATTAAGACAGCGCTTGCCATAGTTGAATGAAGTTAGAAAAATCGCGAAATCGACTACGTGACGAATACCTAAGCCCTTCCTCCGCCCCTGTGACCAAGCGTGGTATTTTGAAGAAGCCCCTCTCCCCTAAACGGATCAAATAGTATGGATATGTTCTCTAAATAATAAAAACAGTATGCGTTGAAGAACGCCGGGGGTTTACTTGTTAAGATCGATTTCGGCTGCACACAAGTATACATGTTATACACACACATGTTAAAGATGACGAGGTAATTATGATGATAGCCGACCTACTGAGCTTTCCATGATTTAAACATACGAAGATAACTTTTAGTTCTATTAAAGTAACTATAAAGGCCTTTTTATGGTGTAGGAGAGCAAACGAACAGGCGATTAACTTTAACAAATGATTAAAGGTTTTTATCATATCTTCTTACTAGCTGACCCGGCAAACGTTGTATTGCAAAACAAAAAAAAATTAGGGATGGGTCACCCTTACCATTTAGGGGTATGAAAAATAGATGTTGACCGATTCTCAGACCTACCCGATGTGCACACAAAATTTCATGAGAATCGGTCAAGCCGTTTCGGAGGAGTACGGGAACGGACATTGTGACACGAGAATTTTATATATTAGATAAATTGAGAAGAGAAAGAAAGGAATCAATAAATAACACAGGCCAACAAAATTTCACTAAGTTTTTTACCCAGAAACCAGAGTATGCTTTCAAGGAGGATTTTGGTGCGCTGAATTTAAATTCGGCCGCAGAATTGCTCTATCACGTCAGGTTTTTGAGATATTCCAATCCAAAAGTGCAAGAACGCCATTTTTTGCTCATTTTTAGGTTATGTAACCCTTCAAATTTTATTATGCATTAAAAGTACACCGGGAATCTGAAAGTTGAAGTCTTCAGCTTTCAAATGACGTTGAGTTTGCTTAGATATCTTTTTATTTCGCTGAGATAGTAGTAAACACGGTTGGCTCAGTTTAGAGGCTTGTAGTTCAGTTAAAGGCTTGCTTAGCTGCACTCGGGGTGGGCAACATTTGATGGGTTTTGAGGGAAAAAAAAAAATTTAAGCAAACTCAACGTCATTTGAAAGCTGAAGACTGGAACTATAAGATACATTGTGTACTTTTTAGACGTATTAAAATTTGAAGGGTACATAACCTCAAAAATGGGCAAAAATTGTATTTTTGCACTTTTTAATTAGAATATCTCAAAAACCTGACGTGATAGAGGAATTCTGGAAAGCCGGATTTGGATTACCAAAATCCTACAAAAAAGTATACTCTAGTTTCTGGGTAAAAATTTTGTTGGCCTGTGTGACAAGAATTAACAAGTAATTTTAAGTGCAACAAGTATTTTTATTGATATGGCCTCCGAAAGTGTTAGCTCTGTGTTAGCGCCGACATATACTATGGGTTGTAGTATTATAAACCTTCAATTATTTTTATTTTTATATCGTATACAGTTAACACATAAATAAGGATTGGTTACAAATATGTAGACGTAACAATCGGCGGTCTTATCGCTGGCGGCGATCTATTACAGGCAGCTTTAATACGGATATTAGATGTTAAAAAACTTGGATAGTTTACATACACGTAACGCATTATCACAAATATAAATATCAACAAAAGCATTCATACACAAATATACATCTATATATATATATATACATACAATCTAAAATATATACTATATATATAATGCAACCAACAGTATTTATACGAGTAATGTCAAATAAAATTCCTTCACTAGCTTTTTGAAAACGGGCAAGGTTTTAGATTGTCGGATTGTCTCAGGCAAGTTGTTCCAAAGTCTTACTGCTTGTACAGTAAAAGATTTGTCCGCAAACTGGGTGGCATGTTGTGGCATTTGTAGTTTTAAATTATCCGATGACCTCAGGTCCCTGCAATGTGTGTTGTGTAACTGAAAATGTTCTTTGAGATATGAGGGTGTGTGGGGATAAAACAGAACACTGTACAAAAAGTATGTGTAATGAATACAAGTTTTCCTCAAATTTAAATGAGAACAAGCTGCAGTACAATACATAGAAATATAAAGGAATGAAGAACACAACCCATTTAATTAATATTGAACAATGAAAGTTAGTGATACTTCTATGAAAATCTGATTTTGCTTTTCACTCAACTCCTCCTCTTCCTAATTCTGGGGAAGTCGCTTACCATTAAGTGATCTTTATTACCTTTTGTTCGCCTTGCCATAAAAAATACCGTTATGGTAAAACTGGACCTGATAAAAAGCTTGAATTCCTAAGTATATAGTTGTTTAATGATGGATGCAGAAGCGACTGCTGAAGGAGGGTCGGGCGCGGCGCCGGAGGCCGAGCGCGCTGCCGTCACCGCGGTGCCCATTGAGGTCGACGAGCTGCGCCAGGAGACCGAGCAGCAGGACAAGGTCGATAAGGACAAGGAGAAGGACAAGGCGAAACAGGACAGGAGTCGACCGATATCCAGCACGCCTATCATGGGAACTCCTTGGTAAGAGATTCTATTTGATTTTCATATAGATTTTCATAATAGCTTTGTACACATAGGGGATTACGAGCAGACGCCGCCCGTGGACGCCTGGTGGGTTGGACTCCGGCCACCTCACTCACTGGGTAAAAACCAACAAAAGAATCGCTTTAAATCCGGTTTTCTGTGAGGTCCTGGTAACATTTCAGTCAAGCCTCACATATGTACAAAAAAGACAATCTACTGTGCGCAGTGCAATGCAGAAAGTTGTAAACCGAAAAAAAAGGTAGTGTGTGTGAGTTTACTCTTTAAGAACGCATACTCTGTGTACGTACAAATGTGATTAGTAAAATAATTAAAAGTCACTTATTAATTGCCATTTATTTTGGAGATTTTTTCCGTTTTAAAACAATTTTAATTTTGTAGTGTACTACTCACTAAACTGAAACAAATTGCAATCACAGAACTAAAACAAACTCACAAAGATATTATTACAGCCACCTAAAAGTAAATTGTTGAACCGCCACCTATGAATTACATTTAGAACTAAAAATAGTAACGAGGTCATTCGATCATTAAATTTTACTCGTCATATTTTTTTCATACCGTACCTTGCTGGTGACCAGTAGTTATCCTGAGAGAGCCGGGTCGGCTCTACCGAAATGATGCTACGGTCTCGTAGAAAACCGGAGTTGAGCAATACTTTCGTTGTTAATAAACTTACCAGAGGCCCAAGGAGTTATATGAATCATTGTATGATTTGTTCTGTGTCTGGGTGTAATTCATCTAAGACATATAAGTATGTTTATCAGCAGTCTGGTTACCATAGTACAGGCTCTGGCTAATTTGGAATCAGACGGGTCGTGTGTGAGATGTGTGAAGTTATTATTTTGATGAGTTCAATAGATTGGATTTGGTAACTATGGTGATGAAACCAGGGCCTCAATTCTGCTATTACGCCAAGCTAGTGTCATACCACTGACACGCTATTGAGATGATATCGAGTAGCCATTGGCATCGGTATAAATATAGGTAGTTGAAAATATATAACGTTTTTGAGGAAATGATTTTTATTGCATCGATGGCATCTCAATGGCGTATCAGTGATATGACACTGGCTTTCGTAAACATAAAATAGCAGAATTGAGGCCCAGGTTGTGGAAAGTGGAATTTTTCAGTGTTTTTGTAAACCCCTCACGTTAACTTGATGATGAAGCTAGAAATTGACATTAAAGCGTGTGTTTTTTATGGGTATCACCTTTCTCTTACACATTTCTATATTCTATGGAAGTGATTTGGTAAAAAAATGGCAGAACAGAACAGAAAAACGTCTAGCAAAAGTGAAATTTTGAAATTACGTAGTCACACCGCATTACACGTTACATATAGTGTCACTACTGTGGCGACGCCACACTATGTCACTGTGCGGCTGTATGATGGTCGGTTGGGTATGCTTTAGGTGCGTGGTGTGGACGGGCGACGGGTCGGTGTTCTTCTACAACTCGGCGGCGCACTCGTCGGTGTGGGAGCGGCCCCCCATCCTCATGGGCCGCGCCGACGTCGACAAGGCCGTCACGCAGCCCCCTGCCGCGCTGCTCGAGCTGCAGGTACATACAGCTTCATACTTCATTTGTTGTATTTAAGCTTTCTGTTACATATTGTATTGGATAAGGCGGACTTGCAGTAGCCATTTTTTTGCAGCCAAACTTTGGTTGGTGAAGAGCAGTGTGTTGCAAGTGTATATTTGTGTAAATTTGACTGCATGTATGGTGTAGTGGTTTAAGCGGTCGCCACGCCGTTTCCTACTACGCCGAGTGTTGTGGGTTCAAACCCCATATGGGACGACACTTTGTGTGATCAACAAATTGTTGTTCTGAGTCTGGGTGTTCTTTGTGTCCGTTACATGTATATTTGTAAAGTCCCCCGCGACACAGGATATATTCCTAATGCGGGAGTTCTTTTATAAAAGAAAAAAAATAAACTGTACTAGCTAACAAAATAATATATTTTTTTAATTCATTTTTCTTATCTAAATCCATTTTTGTAGGCTACACATATACACTCCTCAATATAAATTTAAGTCTTTTTTCCCTTATTATTACTTATTGCTATTAAATTTATCACAGCGTAAAGATAAGGACGCCGCTGCGTCCTCGATCTCGTCGACCACCGGCAAGACGTCGAGCGGCGAACTGAAGCGCGTGGCCGACTCCAGCAGCGACGACTCCAGCGCTGACTCCTCCAAGAAGGCCAAGACTGACGACAACGATGGTAAGATTACCCTTATAGTTGAATATATATCAATGAAATCCTGATTGGAAACATTTTTATTGCGTTAAGTTACCCCTTTTTAAACCTTTCAACTTCGAATTTTGGTCCTTCGAGCCGGATACAATTCACGTGTTTGATATCAGCAATACTCGATATATGTATGTACAAGGAAATACTTTTTTACGGTATATATTTTTAGTGTTCTATTCACACACATAACACTACTCTATTGTCTATTTCTGTCAGTCAATTTTATTTTACAAACGTTTGGAAATATATACAGACTGTTACCAGACTTATGCCAAAGACTTAAATTACAGATAACACAGTTCAATATAAGTCGGTTAAAATTAAAAAAAAAACAAAAAAATACAAAATAAAAAAATGCAAATTTAGAACAAAATAAATACAATAAAATAATGCCGAATTGGAGCACCATTGATAACACGGGTCACTCACCTGTAGACGACGCGACGGCAGCGATGCAAAAATGGCGCCAACATCAAAATGAGCCTAGCGACGCGGCGCCGCAACGGCGGAGGCGCCGCATCGAGCAGCCGAATATTACATTCGTATCACTAATCAGTTACTTCACTTGCGCTTTATTTAAAATCACTAAATCAATTTATTAAAATATGAATACCACTCGCAACAGTTTTTATTCACTAGGTCAATTTTTACTTAAAATTTGATTTAATAAGAATAAACTTTATTGTACACCAGTTTAGTACATCATACATACAATAGTAATCAAATTAATTTAAATTTTTAGGTTTTCAATGTGCCTACCGTTCACATCAATGCATCGAATACACCTTCGCATAATGTTGTCTCGTCTTCTAGCACACAAGTTGTCATTTGCTGCCAAAGCTTTTAGTTTATTAAATGCACTTATTATCCTCGATCTTAGGTCTTCTATTGAAGTGACGTCTGTTGTGTACACTTCATTTTTAACATATCCCCACAAAAAAAAGTCTAGGGGCGTGAGATCTGGTGATCTAGGTGGCCATCGTGTAGGCCCATAGCGTCCTATCCACTGTTCACCAAACATGTGATTAAGACGCTCCCTGGCAGCCACCACTGAATGGGCAGGCGCTCCGTCTAGCTGGTACCACATACGCCTGCTTTGAGCTACAGACAGTTGATCTGTATAATCTGACACTGGGCCATCAAGCAATTCCAAAAACCTGATAGCAGTCAAATTTCCATTAATGAAAATTGGACCGATTATCTTATTGCCGTGAATTGCTGCCCATACATTCAACGAAAAACGGTACTGGTGGGAAGATTCGCGTACAGCATGAGGATTTTCCCTAGCCCAATATCGCAAGTTTTGGCGATTCCATATACCATTACGTGTGAAGGTACTCTCGTCAGTCCACATGATGTTAGATAGAAATTCAGGGTCATTCGTTACCTTCGTACATAACCACTGACAGTAAGCCACTCTTATGGGTTGATCTCTGTTTAATAAAGCCGATACTTTTCGAAATCTGAAAGGCCGTCGTTTATTAGCCTTTAAAATACCGTGGACCTTTTTGTGGTGAACACTGAATTGACGAGCAGCCCTACGTAAACTGCATGTAGGGTTACGCGTAAAATGGTCTAACACACGTTCTTCAAGGGCGATCGGTGTTCGGGGAGCAAACTCAACATCACGTGGCACCAAACTTTGATTGTCTCGTAATCTTTGTACCGCCCTTACAAAAATTCGGCTGTCTGTAGGGCATACACGAGTGGTTCCATATCTCTCACGGTATGTCCGTAAAGCTAAAAAAGCGTTTTGATGGCATTCCCCGTAAATTAAGACCATGTCAGTATACTCCGGGGCTGTAAAGGTCACTCGCGGCATTATGAATGTTAATATTAATAATTCAATATAATTAAAACACTAGTAAGAAACCTAGTTTACACTACACACACACACACTCCACAACAAAACTAATATTGTTACTTTCAAAACAAAATTAGCGGGACTCGTTGCAATACAAACAGTCTTGCAACAACTGACCGCAGACCGATTGACGCTACTCTACTTTCTAGAACCCGGAAGTCATCGAATATTAAATAATTAAATCAATGCTGCCAATTGTCAAAGCTCAAAAAACATTATTATAATGAGTTTACCTGTAGTAATCATTACGTACTGTAAATAAAACATTTAATATAAACAATATAATTTACACAGCCTAATAATATTAAAATACTTATTTATTAGCATATTTTGTTTATAATCAATATGTAAAAAAAAAGCGCGCAATTACGATGCATACATGCTAATAGGTTGGTAGCGATCCGATGACACAGTAACCAATTACATGCTTCTAATTTATTTTCGCCGACACTGACCAACACAAGTGTAAGAACCTTGTTGTCAGACACAGTATTATCTTCCGTATGCCGTTGCAATATGTTTGATTTTATTTTAAAGAAATTCTTATTTTTTTTTTATTAATTATTATTTCGTAACTTGTGCGGTAGCGTTTGTATAGCGACAGCGGGAAGGTCATTGACACTTAGTACTTTAGCTTCGCGTAAACATATGGTGTTGTAAAATACGAAACACAAAAATGAGTCCTGTGGCTAAACTACTGGATATATTTTGTTCATATTTTGCAAATCGCCTAGAAATTAAGGACAGAATATAGGGCTTAAATATTTGTATAACGAAATAAAACACTCTGTATTTGAAATCAATAACATTAAAATCTTCTGGTGTGTTTTCTTGAAGTGGAGAAAAGATAAAGCTTCTGAGTAAATTGAAATAATTTGTAGTAGTGTATTTAATATTTTTTTGACGAATAAAACTCGAGAAGGAAGGTCTCACAACATCAGTGAAGGAAGATATTCGATAGTCATAAATCTTTTTTTATTTGCTTAATATTTGTCGGTCGGGTGAGAAACAAAATATAGTCGACGCATATCGTCCACGAGAGAGAGGTATGATGTGTCGGTGCGGTCCACAGAGAAGCCCACGGTGGTGTCGTCGTCGCTGACGGGCGGCGCCAGCATCCTGGTGGGCGCGGAGGCGGCGGTGGAGGCGGAGACGCGCGCGGCGCGGGAGCGCGGCACGCTGCCGCACCACCAGCGCCTGCGCGCCTTCCTGCACATGCTGCACGAGAAGGCCGTGTCCGCCTTCTCCACCTGGGAGAAGGAGCTGCACAAGATCGTCTTCGACCCTAGGTACCTCATGCTCAACTCCAAGGAGCGCCGCCAGGTGAGCCCGTCCTCTGCGGACCTCTCTTAGATTCCTTAAACACTTTTCGCAGACCTTCGACCTAGCTTAACGCGGAATAATGACATACGATTTAAATAATTTACGTCTTTGAACGTCCAATTTTAAAATAATTATTCTCTCGTTCTAAAAAACCAAATAAAATCCAGAAAACGTAAGCTTAAAATTGAATATAATAGTTAATTCCAAGAGGCTACCTCAAGGATCTATTCTAGGTCTCATAACAATTCTATTGTCGTAGATGATAAAAAAGTATACACGTGGCTTAATTTATTACTGTTTTATATACTTTTCACTATCTTATTTCTCTATAATACAATACTTTTTTATGATTAAACTCTGTAGTTTCACAGACTTCGAATAATAATTATGAAATAATGACCTGGGCATTAGTCCGCCTGTTTACAACTTATGCATTAACTTAATTTGTTTCTTTTTTTTAATTAATTCGTTACGAATGCGTGTGAATATAAATAAATTACCTCTTGCCGTAACCAGGTGTTTGACCAGTACGTTCGCGACCGGGCTGAGGAGGAGAGGAAGGAAAACAAGAATAGATTAGCGCAGAAGAAATCTGCCTTTAAGACACTCATGGAAGAAGCTAAACTGCACTCCAAGTTAGTATACAATTCATCATCATCATCATTATCAACAGCCTTTGCCCGTTGCCCGTTTGCAGTGACTGCACTAATGGCGTATTGGTTTAAGCGGTCGCCACGCCGCTTCCTACTACTTCGAGTGTTGTGGGTTCAAACCCCACATGAGACGACACTTTGTGTGATCAAGAAATTGTTGTTCTGAGTCTGAGTGTTCTTTGTGTCCGTTTCATGTATGTTTGTGAAGTCCTCCGCGACACAGGATATATTCCTAATGCGGGAGTTGTCTTTTAAAAAGAGCCTTTAATAGTCCACTGCTGGACATAAGCCTCTCCTTAGAAAGGAGGTTTTGGCCTACTATACCACGCTGGCCAGACGGGTTGGTATAGGGTTTCAATTTTTCCCCTAAAGTTAGGCTTAAGCGACACCCACGAGATGAATGGGGGTGGTGACACTCCGTATTCTTAATCCGTCACCACACGGAACATTATTTAATATTTTTCTAAATCTGCTGTTAAATAAGTGTTTTTTTTTTATCTAAAGGTCATCATTCAGTGAATTCACGTCAAAACACGGGCGCGATGAGCGCTACAAAGGTATTGAGAAGGCCAGAGACAGGGAGACATACTTCAACGAGCACCTCGCCGAGCTGCGCAAGAAGGAGAAGGAGGAGAAAGAGAAGGCCAGAGAACAGGTGAGTGCTGGAGAAAGACAATTGTGTGGGGTGTGCGTGAAGAACACATGGCTAGAGGAGTTTTGGGAGGCTTATGGCTTTCTTAAATCCTTCAGATATTTACAGTTAGTATTTTTTTTTAGTTTGGGTACGAGAAATACAACAATTTTGGAAATTTAGGCGAAAATAATTGTTTCTTAAACATTTTCTCACAATTAAAAAAACTGAAAAAATAGTAAATTAATAATTACTAAATTTTGCTTGTGGTTCCGTCCTCGATTTTGTTGGTTATCACGGTAAAAAGCCTATATTCTTCCCCAAAAATCAAAATATCTTCATATCAAATGTTCTTAAAAGCGTTTTAGCCGTGAAAGCGTAACAGACAGACAGAGCTGCTTTCGCACTTACAATATTAGCAAGGATTTTTTAACCGTTGTCAGTCATTGATACCCACTTCTGAACATAGGGTATTAGACTCCAATTATAGAATGTTAATTGCCTATGCTGTCAATCCGTACCCAGACTATATTGCTCTATATTACTAGAATACGACTCCCGACCCTCCTCTTATATTTTTAATAAAAATTTAATTGTTATAATGCAAATACAAAATAAATAGGGTACATGTATGCAGTAAATTTTTATCTAATGTTTATATTGGGATATTTTGTAACGTTACATGGTCCTTCGAGCCTTGCCCAGCGCAGGCTCTATGACTTAGTTGAGTCATCACTGAGTTAATTGCGATCAACAATATTCAATACACAGTAATAATATCATTTCTAAAGTTAATAATCAAAACTTTAACTAGTTGTGGATTTAAAATATTATTAAAGGCAATAGTCAATAGAGCAAAATTAGCGGTAGCCCAGTGGCGAGACCAATAGACTGCACTGCAGAGGGTCTCGGGTACAAATCCTGGTCGCACACTTATGACTTTTCGAAGTTTTGTGCGTAATTATTGCTTGCTCCGTGTGGCGGAAGGCACGTTAATCCGGTGGTCCCGGCTGTCATGAACATCTATGGCAGTCCTTATTAGGAAGTCAGTGCCTAATAATATCCTGACAGCAGGTTAAACCATAGAATAATGCTTCCCTCTGGGTTGCGGAGTTGAGACGGCAGTCGCCTCGTGTAATAACTGGAATTCAGCCAAATCTAGTTAGACTGGTGAGCAGACCCTGGGTCCTAAGCGTAAGTCTAGGGTACAACCGGGATAAATGCTAGGATGAATAAGTCAAAAGAACAAAATACTCAAAACTTGATGGTAATTAATTATAATAATCATTTATATTGGAGTAACCATGACTCGTTGCTTGTTAGTAATACACAAAACTTATCCTATGTCAGTAGAGACGATTTACTACAGTTAATTTATGCACTCCATGACCATGGCGCTGCAGTGACCCATGTACCTGCAATCCAACCTTTCTGCAATCATGGCTAGTATGCAATTAGAGGTAGCCTGCACCCTACTCGTGCGTAAATCCCCTCGGATACCACCTGTCGGTGGCATGGACCGACCAAAACCGCACGCCGTCTCGGGTGCTAATAGTCCCTGGTGCCCCGACATACGACATACGACGACATACCTCGGGCCATCTACAGACGAGTAGACGACACCCCCCCCCCCCCTCACCCGAGCTAATTGATTAGGGGTATTTCATCATGATCGTAGAATAGTCGGTTTTGAAAAAATACGAAATTCAGTTTTACCATATTTGGATACTACATTGTTTAAATATTATTACTACATTCAAGAAAAAATTATATGTATTTAAGATTTTACATTATTCAGTGTTTGTTTGATAGGCGCTCAAAGTGAAATGAAGCATGTGATTTTTCTGGAAAATTGTGAAATTATTAATAGTTATTTATATTGCATTTTAAAACAAATCCTATTATTCACTTGTATGCCAATTTTCATAATTACAGATTTAGAATTTAAAAAGTTATGTCAATAAACCTAACATAATTATTTGAAATGGCTGCCATGTTATCTATACAAATAAATAAAATTGGAGTGTCTGTTTGTAATATTAAATACTGTTGATTTAGAAAAGGCCTTTGACTGTGTTCCTCGTGGGGCCCTATGGATTGTTCTGGAGAGTTTCGCCTACTACACGATGGCATGACATACTGTGTGTCTGCAATTGGGGAACAATCAGGTTTCTTCCCGGTCACATGTGGGGTTAAGCAAGGCTGTGTCCTTGCCCCCACACTATTTGCCATCTATTTTGCGGCTGTGGTGAACGAGACGCTACAAAAGGTTATGTCAAAAAACCTAACATAATTATTTGAAATGGCTGCCCTGTAAAGTACAATAAATGTCAGATCCGACACTACTCCACGGCTATGAAGATTTTAACTCAATCACTAAACAAATGTTACCATTTGAGTTTTTTAAAGAGAGATGAATTATAGATAGATGCCTCTATCTCTTTCTAACCGAGCTCTGTGGTTGGCTGGGCAATATGAGAGGTTAATAAGTAGCCAATCGCGGCTTAGCTAATCAGTGACATAGGGCAATATTGAGCATCCATCTCTCTCGTTACCTGTATCGCTTCCATCTACCCTGTGTTCTCTCTTAGTCACACAGAAATATATATTACTACACTATATTATATACTATTATGGACTATAGATTTAAAAAATTACATACATATACCCTATTTTAAAGAAATTTATTTGTTTCAAGGTTTTAAAATGCCACTGCTTTAGTTTTAAATTGAAATATACAATGCAATTTTTTGTTTTTAAACATATCAATGTATCTTTGTTGAAAAATTAAAATCGAAAACTTCGTTTACATAAAATAAATGGAATAACAGCAACTATATAAGAGTTAGCTACTAAGTATTGTATTTCATTACAGGTTCGATTCCTGCCAGAAATAGCTTAGTTTTAAATTGTGTTTTTCTTTGCAGAATTTAATCCAAAAAAAATCAGTGCTGATAAGAATGCTGGTCAGGTTCAAATCCTGATGGTTTCGTTTGTGCTGTATCGGGTTCGATTCCCATGTATTTAATTCTGATTTTCCAATTTGTACAAAAATAAAACGGTTTTAATGCTGTGCGTTTTTGATGTCATTTTTGTGAACTATTGCATTTTTTGAATTAACTTTATTGCAATTTTCAAGTCTTTGGTGTTGTTTTCATAAATAAATAATTTATTTACTATATTGGATGTGGTTAATTAGTACAGGTTATTCCTGAAGTAGTCTATGCCCTCAGTGTTGTCAATTTTCAAAAATAAATATTACCCAAAAAATATTTTATTTTTTGTGATTAAAAACAATGTCAAAGATATCACGATAATATAATTGAATTCTATATTTGATCATATTATAATAATTATTCTCTATAAAATATATCTTTTCCTAACGCGATGGTGTTATCTGAAGATTGCCTTTAAAATAATAAGAAAAAAAATTTTTTTTTGGCCCAAATCCACAAAAAAAATACATTTAAAAACTCAATGTTTTTAAGTACATGTACACAGCATGTATGTACGCTTATGCCAGCAGTGGACTATTAAAGGCTGTTGATGTGATGTGTACACAGTATTTTTTCACTTTCTATATTACAAGACATCTCTTGTCGTGATAAGAAATACAATAAAAGGCTCCTCAGAACAACACGATCGCAACTAGCGTGAATATAGCGTATAGCATCGTTGTTTGTGGCGTAGCGCGGTGCAGGCGACGGGCCGGACCGAGCGGACTGCGGCGGGCCGGAGGGCCGGCCGGGTGGCCGATTGACGACCTATGTCTTGTGGGAGGGAATTGTCAAATTAATAATTATGGGGATTTTGAAATACGTATAATATGGGCAGTTGTATGCGATAGAGATTCGCGCGTGTAAACTTCAAATGTGCTTTCAAGCAGAGATATTTCTGTGACCGTTGGGTTTTTTTTTGGTTGGTACATTCCAAAGTCCTATCTGACAGTGTTCAAGTTTATTATAATATTGCGATACGAAGAATTATACGAGATAATATGAAATTTCGTATAATAAAAAGGGACACAATGTATCTGAATTGTAAAAAATATATTTGGGTTTTTAACAAATTATTAAAGTTCGTCAATCGGTCACACCTTATCACCAGAACACTCTGAAGGTTAGACATATTTTAAGCAGCTCAATCAAAAAAAAAACAATGAAATTAACAACATATTATAGAAATATATCAAAACATATAACTATCAATACTGCCTCTAATGATGTTTAAATGGGGTTTTATAATTTTACCTACTTAAATTTACGTAGAACACAAAAATTTAAATTCGACTCAGGGTGAATGTGCCATATTTTTTAACTTAAAATTCGTAATGGCGGTCTTAATATTTTAATTGTAGTAGGTTAATGGACACTGGCACATCCACTCTTTGTAATTGGTATTAATATTTGAGCCCCCTTTTAATTTCTGCATTTTAACCCATCATAAGTTATATTTTTATTTTTTATTTTCTGGCCCTCTAAACATCATTGAGATAAAAAATGATATTTTTTTTATTATATAGAAAAAAATATGTTCCCTATAAGCTTGAAGACGAAATAATGCATGCACATGCTATGTAAGGCAGTGTTGCCACGCTAAGGGGAGGATTTAATACACTAGCAACACCAGGATTGCTTCAGTGTTACCAGCCTAGTAACGGTGATGGGTTGACAATATGAAAAATGTAAATAATTGGACTTAGCGAAACTTAGGCACTAATGATTTCTTTTTCAGCGATTTTTTTTTCTTTAATATTTTAATTTATTGATAATTTAATTTACTTACCTAAGGAAAACTATTGAACCGATATTTACCTACATATGAGTATTAAGTTAAGTTTTCTTACAAATATTTTTAAAAGAACTTAAGTTGAGAAATTTTCCAAGAATTTAAAAGTAAATATTGAAGTTATCATTGTTAAACTTAAAATACAAGGAATGTTTAAAATATATAAATGAAATGTAACCAATATTAAAGTTATTAAGTCAGGTAAAATTTAATTAATTTTGCGGGTACCAATTTAAAATTAAGTTTTTTTTTTCTATAAAAGTTTTGGGTATTGCTGAAGTCAACGAACAGTGTGGTGTGCGGTTCGATTCCTGCATGATTCATTCAAGTGTGTGTCACGAGATTTGTCAGAAAATAATCAAGTATAAAATAATACAATAAATCTTTAGGAAAGTTACTGATTGGAATGTTCCTCAATTATTGAACAGTCCAATACAAAAGGAATTATTTCGTTGCTTTTAACCCCTGCCCCCTTCCCGTTTCTGGGAGGGGAAGAGGTAATCACCTGCCGTTAGTCTGGTGACCTGTCTGAGTGTCATCTCGGTTGCCCCTTTAGCTCTGACCGATAACATAACAAATAAACGTATTTATACTAGTATAAATAATACCATTTGTAGCAATGTAGCGTGAGATATAGGGTGACTCGAATAGTGTGGGTTCGAACCCCACTTGTAACAAAGTATTTTAATTGCAATAATCGTTTAAATATTTATATGTTTAGACATATATATGTAGAGGAAGTGCAAAAAACTAGTTTGTTAAACAAAATGGACTATTAATAATACAATATGCACTGCACGGATAGAGTAGTGGTTTAAACGGTCGCCAGGCCGCTTCCTGCTGCTCTGAGTGTTGTAGGTTCGATCCCCACATGCGACACCACTTTGTGTGATCCACAAATTGTTCTGAGTCTGGGTGTTCTTTGTGTCCGTTTCATGTATGTTTGTAAAGTCCCCCGCGACACAGGATATATTCCTAATGCGGGAGTTGTCTTTTTAAAAGAAGAAATATGTAAATAAAAATGCTTTAGGGGCCAGTATATATTATGTTGACCTATTTATAGTACAGAAGTCTATGGTGAAAAGTGAAAAAATTGGTGCTGATTCGACCGCCAAGCAAACTACTAAAAAAAAAAACATGTTTCTTTTATATCAGTTTTATATACTTAATTAACAAAATGGTACCCGTGAAATTAATTATATTTTAACAACAATATACAAACATACAATCAAGTCATTTATTAGAAAATACAAAAAAATAAATAGAAATATATTAAAAGTTTGGTAAACGGAAGTATGTTATTAATATTAAATATAAAAAGAGAATAACTATAGAGTACAGTGTGTAAGTTGTTACAACTGCGTCTAGAGTATGTGGGTTCGATTCCCACATCCGAGAATAGGGTAGATTCCCAGGTTTAATGTAAACTATTAACATATGATTTGACAATTGCTAGGTATGACGTCACAAAATGGTATTTCATACAAAAATGTACAAAAGAATCGGATTTGACTTGTTAATCACCTACCACATGGTCACGAATGTCCTTTTTATCCTGTCCTGGAGACTTGAACTTAAAGTTTGTTGGTAGGTGAAGTTGATCCGGTCTAGCTCGACACCGTATTCTTAATCCGTCACCGCACGGACTATGTCCCAACATTGGACAGTCCAATTTATGATACAATACACCCAAGATGCTGTGTATGGTGGACTGAAATCAACCGAATTCCCTCGGCTTAACGTATTGTCTTGATTGAAGTCATATTCTTCCTGATCTCTACCTCCAAACACAAAAGGAGGATCTGCCAACTATTTGAGATTGTCATGGCTGACGAGCCGCGGCCCAAAGGGTTAAGGTGTAAATATGCTAATCAGCTTGAAAACTTTTCATATCGCGATACAAGATTAGCAGTTACTCCGTAGTTCGGTGTGTCTTCGTTAGATGGCGCTGAAATATGTTTTCGTTTCATTATATGTGGAAGTCGCCACATATAAAAAAAAAAAATTTTGGCTGTTTTTTTTTTAATGGCCGGCCGTCTTTCCGACGCCCATCTTCCGAAGGAATGTAGCCGTTTCCAGACAGATTGTAAGAAAACGGATGAAATGAGGAGCATTTAGTTAGGTATACTCCAACTCCTGGATGGGAAAAAGGACAGACTCCCAGTAGCTCTAAGAGTCTGTCACGTCACGTACCCCTGTTTATGTCCAGCCTGTGATAGGAAAGACCATTAGGACAGTGACAGCTGATAGATATATAGAATAATAATGGCTTGACCCATCTCACCTCGGCTGGTCCCTCCTCCCTCACCTCCCTTTGCGTTGGAGGGACATGACACCCTTTCCTCCACAAACTTTATAAGTTTACATCAGGAGCTTTATTGTTCTACCATAACATACAGAAAACATACTTGAGAGTTGGTTTAGCTATATTCCAGGGCTTCGCTTGCTTGCTAGCTTTATGTATCTAACTTTGAAAATGACGAACTTCCATACAACCGTTCATCCCTTGTTTTACCCCTTTAGGGGTGCAATTTCCAAAAATCCTTTTTTACTACGTAAAAAACATCAGGTGCCAAAATTTCAAGTTTTTAATTGGAGCGGTTTAGGCTCTGATAGGTTAGGGTTCCGTGTCCGTGTGGTGACGGATTAAGAATACGGAATGTCACCACCCCTATACATCCCGAGGGTGTCATAAGAGGCGACTAAGGGAGCAAACAAAGAGAAGGAAAACTTGAAATAAACCCTATACCAACCCGTCTGGCCAGCGTGGTATAGTAGGCCAAAACCTCCTTTCTAAAGAGAGGCCTATGTCCAGCAGTGGACTATTAGTGGCTGTTGATGTGAGGCTCTGATAAATAATATTTATTTCTGTAAGTAAATCCTTTCAGATATTTTGACAAGTCGGACTTTACAGCTAGAAAAACCACCATTTCCTAAGACTCACTCTTGGAAGAAACGCCGAAACAAATAATGTCCTTTTTTTTGATGATTGATGATTGATGAATCAGTCAGTCAAGGCAATTGATTTTATATGTATAGATTTGCCACTACAATGTTAAAATACTTCCGTTTACCAACCAAACGACTAATGAGAAATTCTCTTTCAGGATTTAATATCTCTTTCTATCCACAGGTTAATAATATAATTCTATCTCTTTTCAGCCTTTAATATTATATTTTTTTACAGCTCGTAGTATTGCTAATGAGCGAATAGAAGTGTTACGTGTCTCGTGGGGATATGCTTGGCGATTTTATTTATCATGAATGTCTGTGTGTTTTACAAGAGAGTTTAATATCTATTAAAATATCATAAAACAGCTTCAAAGTACCTAAAAACTTACTTTTAGCATTTTGCCACTTTTAGGTAGGATTCTCCTTTTCATAATTAATTTATTAAGTATATATTTAATAAATTGACATAGTAAAATATGTAGTTCTTTAAAAAAAATCGTTTTAATTTACATACAATTTAAACATATATTTTTTAAATCAAACCCTGTAGAGTTCTGGCGTTTTCAACATTAAGAAGAAGAATTTTGTACGAAATTACCTTAGCAGGTGCATTTTATGAATTTACGAACGATTAGTTTTAAATTAACAAACAGCAATGGATAATTGTCGTGAATCGTTGAATCGAAACACTGTTTTTATATCCCTTTTAAAGCTTTTAAAAGATCCAAAAATAGAGTAAAAAACATACCACTTTACTCGTAGCGGAGTTACCCTAAAATAATTTGATTACCACTTTGTAATAAATATAATATAATAACGCGAAATTACAAATCTAAGCACTAACGGTATCTTAGCTTAGCCGGGGACAGACATGACTGCCTCGGATGTGCAGTGGGAGCGAGTCGGACCAAATATTTGTGTGACCTGAAAATATTTGATTCGAAGTTTGGGTGTTTTCTATGTATCATCATCATCAACAGCCTATAACAGTCCACTGCTGGACATAGGCCTCTCCTTAGAAAGGAGGTTTTGGCCTACTGTTGCCAAAACCTCCTTTCTATGTATAATATATATGTAATTACAAAAAAATATATATAAAAGTATACTATCAGTTAATCTAGCTTTCAAAATACCAGCTCTGCTTAGTTTGAAACTAGATGGCGTTGTGTGTCAGATATCAGAATTATTATGTACAAAATTCTTTCTTCTCTTTCTTTATGTCAGAAAATATTTTTATTTATTTATAGACAAACGGACACGGTGAAACTATAAGGGTTCTTTAATAACTAATTCTGCAATCTGCGATAGTGATAACTTGAAAAGGGATGGGGGGGAAGGAATGTACTGGACAAACAATGAAACTGGACAAACATGATATTCGGTTATTTCGTTTATATTTCTATTTCTCTATATTTTCTTAAATTTACTCTGTACACACGACTCTCTTGTTGTGCTATCCTCTCTTCACTCTTGGGTTTGCTGGAAGAGAACTTAATTATGGGTCAAGCTCGCCTCTGTGCCCACTATTCCTTAATGTATTTTTTATATAAATGTTTATATTGTGTACGTAAGAATAAATAAATAAATAAACAATGTTAAGTAATAGGCGTGCGTTGTTACCCTAACCACTATTCATGTACTAGATATAAAATCTTGTCTTATTAATTTAAAAGAACGGTTTTACTCACGTATGTAATTAGGAGTGAATTGATTATCGACCGACAGACGTCGCGGCAGGACGAAACTCCAAGAGGAAACTCATAGGGCTCCCGTCGAGTCGTCACAGACATAAGAACGATCTCACACAAAATACTTATATACTACGCTGTAGGTACTCTAGAAGTATACGTCGCTGAGGTCTACTAAAGTTCTACTAAAATCGATTCTAGTAGACGATTTTAGTAGTAGCAGTAAAATCAAAATGTAAAAACAATATAGGTCCAGGTCTAGTCAATCTCTTGTATCCAGTATGGTATTCTTAAGTTTAAAAAAACCACATTTACTGTGCTATCACATAATGATGTCTTAAAATTGAACGCTGTTTAAGTTAAATACTTAAAAAAATATATTTATTTTATTTTCGCCAGAAACACCAGACACATTCACAACGAACCTTCTAAATATCCCCACGACTCACCAATCCCACACTTCTCCTTACAAACAAGCGTCAATCTCAATCTCTTTCTAACTCTTTCTCTATCTCATTATAGGTCAAAAACGACTTCATAGCGCTGCTTAAAGACAAGGGTGTGGACAGACACTTACGTTGGGTTGAAGCTAAGAAGAAGGTGGATTCTGATCCGAGATACAAAGCTGTTGAGGGCAGTACTCTGAGAGAAGATTACTTCAAAGAGTACTGTAAGATTGTTAAAGAAGAGAGGAAGAAAGATAAAGACACTAAAGAAAAGAGTAAGTTTTTTTTTAGAGATACAGTAAAGATATATTACATGTCCTTTGTCGTCTATCTAACTTTCAAAATGATAAACTTTTTATCACCTGTTCATACCTTATTTTACCCCTTAGGGGTAAAATTTTTAAAAATCCTTTCTTAGTGTTTTTTTTTAATTTGTAGCCCCAGCCCCGGTTTAGTCTCTGCGTTGATGAATCATTCAGTCAAGGCAACTAATTTTATATATATACAGATGTACGGACCTTATTTTTCTTTAAATTTTACTTACTGTATTGATAAATAAAAGATAATAATAATTATGATATATGTGAGCCGCGACACGTCAATTGATAGTCGAATATGAACGCGAACTGGGCCTCAATTATGCTATTATAATATTGTATCAATAGACTGTCGATGGAATAGTTTTGCACTTTTCTCATTTTACTAACTACTAGCTGAGACTCGCGGTGTTACCCGCGTTTGTTGTTATAACCGCGGGCAACGCCGCAGGGCGAAGCTAGTCTAAAAAAAGTAGCCTAAGTTACTCCTTATGTCATCAGCTATCTGCCAGTGAAAGTCCCGTCGAAATCGGTCCAGCCGTTCCAGAGATTACCCGGAACAAACACACAGACAGACAAAAATTGTAAAAAATGTTATTTTGGCATATGTACCGTGTAAACATACATATGCATTTAGTAAAAAACGGTTATTTTAATATCACAAACACACTCCAATTTTATTTATTTGTATAGATGTAAGACCAATGGCCTCCCGATGACTTGTCACTGATACAAATGTCGTCGATGTCTTTCTAATAGTTAGGTAAACGGTACATTTTAAATTTGTAAGAGAATGATATATTTAATTTTCATGATGTGGCTATGTTATTGATATCACCAATGATGACCCACAGTACTATATCGTTAGTCTATTGACACGGTGTATTTATGTTAGTAGAATACCGATATTTTGACCTATATAAGTGGTATCTCAGATGACAGTGGCTTGTCGTTAACATAAAATAGCAGAATGGAGGCCCTGAACTGAAGTATAATAATCTATACAAATAAATAAAATTGGAGTGCCTGTTTGAATATTTAAATAACCGCTTTTTACTAAATGCGTATGTATGTTTACACGGTACATATGCCAAAATAACATTTTTTACAATTTTTGTCTGTCTGTCTGTTTGTTCCGGGTAATCTCTGGAACGGCTGGACCGATTTCGACGGGACTTTCACTGGCAGATAGCTGATGACATAGGGAGTAACTTAGGCTACTTTTTTTAGGACTAGCTTCGCCCCGCGGCGTTGCCCGCGGTTATAGCAACAAACGCGGGTAACACCGCGGGTCTCAGCTAGTAAGTAAATAAAGTAAAACCCTGACACAGCTCAAAGTGTAACTGCATGACACAAGAAAGGTATAACCTGGCTCGGACAATAGAATACTTAAAGTTATTTAGGCAATATAAAAAGGAAATTAAGTTTGTTAAGTATACGAGTTTATAACTGGGGGCAGGAAGGGAACATCCGGGTTCCCACACAGGAGGGGTCATCTATAAGCCGTAGATGGCTCGAGGTACGTCTCGGTACCAGGGCTTTCCTTTCTAGGATATACCTGGTTCCGCGGCTACTGGTACCCGAGACGGCGTGCGGTTTTTGGTCGGTTCAAGACCGACATCACCCACTGATATACCACCCACCAGTGGGTGATTATTGATTATTACCGAGGGGAGTCCCGCACGGTACCAGGGATTTCCTTTCTAGGGTACACCTGGTTCCCCGGCTACTGGTACCCGAGACGGCGTGCGGTGTTTGGTTGATTCGAGTCCGACATAATTACCCCGGTAATTTCATAAAAAAAAGGGGAGTCCCGCACAGAAACGGGTCACCTGGTGGAAAGTGATTATCTTCGCCCATAGGCACCTTGCATTCGGGTGTTTTGTTTTTTTTTTTCAATATTTGTCTTTTTTACGTTCACTTGAGCTCTATATCAAGCATAGACATTAAAAATCTCACTTGCAATATTACAGAACGCGAACGCAACAGCACCAAGAAGGAGAAACGCGACAAGGACCGAGGTGACAAGGACAAAGAGCCCAAAGAAAAGGACGACAGCAAGAAGAGCAAAAAGAAAGAGAAGGGAGACGTGAGTACTGAACATGTATTGTACACTTACACAGTGCACTTGTAGACAGGTGTTGGGGGGAGGAGGAGGGGGGGGGGGAATCTTAGGTTTTACAGAAAGTGTATATTTAATAGCAATGTAAGTAAATCTTTTTGAATACATATATAGCAAACATAATAAAATGGCTATAGTCATGCTTCTGGTGTCACAAGAAACTGAAAATTATTTTTGTGGTACCGGAGACAATCAGACAATGGAAATGGATTAAATGGGGTAGATTGGCAGTATTAAGGGAAAGTAGGAAAAAATGGTATGCAATGGATATTACTTATACGGATAAAGTGGGGAGTGTAAACAACTCGACTTCGACTGTTCTCGATGCCAGCAATAGCTCGAGCAGAGGTTAGCCTTTAACTAAATGCTTAAAGCAACTCTTAGAAGTCTATTTATTTAGTACAATGCACTGTTAAGTATGATATATATTATAATATTTTAATATTAAATTAACTATAGCAATATCATAAATATTTAACTCACAAAACATTTACAAGTTACTTAAAAGATATATAGATGTTATTTCGAACATGTATGTGTCTTGGGGTTGTCTCCAACCCGAAGACTACCACGGGTAGGCGACCCCGATCTCTTCCCGTTACTGCTGTCGCGGTATTCCTTACCCTAAGGACTCAATTCGTTTTTTATCATGCTAACTAGCTGACCCGCGCAACTTCGTCTGCGTCTCTCAATAGTAATAAATTTTCTCCGTTTTTGAAACATTCTTCATTGGTGCTCCGCTCCTATTGGTCTTAGCGTGATGATATATAGCCTATAGCCTTCCTCGATAAATGGGCTATCTAACACTGAAAGAATTTTTCAAATCGGTCCAGTAGTTCCTGAGATTAGCGCGTTCAAACAAACAAACAAACTCTACAGCTTTATAATATTAGTATAGATTTATTTCATTCCTTAGTCCCGTCTGAAGTTACATTCCCAAGAAGACATCAGACAGGCATTTAAAATGCTTATAAATAATACACAATGTAACGTTTTTTTTAGGTTTATTTATTGACTCGAGTGTTTTTAGATGAGTGTTTTTAGACTCGAGTGTTTTCAGACTAGAATGGTTTTAGACTCGAGTGTTTTAAGATGAGTGTTTTTAGACTAGAATGGTTTTAGACTCGAGTGTTTTTTAGACTCGAATGCTTCTTTTAATCTTTTGTGTGCAACTTATGGGTCTTATTATTATTTAATATAAAAATGTTATTGTACAGTTATATATTTATGATGTTGCTAGTTTCACTTGCTCATACTCCTGTGATTAGTTTTAAGTGAAACTGCGTCGGACACGGTTATTTTTTTTTATTTAATTTATTATTTTAATTTTTTCACTTGTCTCAACTTTTTTTCACATTTAAATATCTAGGTGGCTGTGTTATGAGACGTAAGTATAAATAAAATGCCTTTTTAAAACGTACTTAAACAATATATTATTTAATCCTAACGTAATTTCAATTGGCTTGGTATGTGTCGACTCGACCGGAGCGTTACCGCGGCCTCACAGGTGTTAAACAATTTTTTATTTGTTTTTTCACCTAGTGAGTGAGAGATTTTCGGAGACCTACCCTGACCCCTAATCGGGAGGAGGGTCTATTGGTGCTATTAAGCGACGCGACTGCTCTTTTGTTCTTTTTTTTTTATCACACTCCTGTAGTTGTGAATCTGTTATGTAATTTATTTATATTTTATTCCAAATTCGGCTGTTTAATGAAGTTTTATTTAAATATCCTAAATCTTTTTATATTACATTAGTTTTTTTATATAAATTATTCACATTTAAGTTTCATTGTTTTACAGTGTCTCCATTCGCCAAAATGTTCTAGTTTATAGGCGTTCCACTCAATTTATAACAAAATTTGTAGTTAAATACTACTTTTTAAATTACTAATACAATGGTATAAAGAAAAGCGGGTTGTTAAAAATTTCGTTACTTCAATTTTTTTAATCTTTCTTTTAATACATAATGAATCTGTATAATAGGGATGTTGAAATTGTTTCTGAATTGTTTTTATTTTAAAGCAAAACCCTTATTAAAAATATATTCTTGAGCTCTATACCTATATATATATCTCCTCACACATGGGCCGGATCAACCGGACTGTGTCAGGCCCATGTGTAAACACTCACAAAAAACCACTGTTAAGCAAATCTTTCGTGGTTTTTCATGGAGTGAGTGAAGTTTTGGACTGCACGGACAGCGTAGTGGTTTAAGCGGTCGCTAAGCCGCTTCCTACTGCTCCGAGTGTTGTGGGTCCGATCCCCACATGGGACGACACTTTGTGTGATCCACAAATTGTTGTTCTGAGTCTGGGTGTTCTTTGTGTTCGTTTCACGTACGCTTGTAAAGTTACGACAGGATATATATTCCTAATATAAAAAAAGCAAACAAAATTGTTCGTATGACGTGCAAGTATTTGTTTCGGAGTTTGGGTGTTTTCTAGATATAATATGTGTGGATTTACAAAAAAAAAGTATTCTATCAGTCAATCTAACTTTCATAGTACAAGCTCTGCTTAGTTCGAAATAAGATGGCGTAGTGTCTCATGTCCGAAAATAATATTATTATAATTGGAACGAAGCTCTGAGCGGAACGGAGCGAGACCAACAAATGTGTAACAAGACTTTTTTCCGACACTAGCAAAAAGCTAAAAGAACTTTGTTCCGACATTGGGTCCATAGCCATGGTGCCATTTTCATTATTATTCATCGCCATACAACCTATGTATTGGAACAAGACAATTCAGAAATATTTTAATCCTGTCAACATCCCTATTGTATCTAGCTGCTAGAAGGAGCGACAGAAGTACACCTTCAGCGCTCCCACCGGTTTAAGAAGATAACCTTTGTCATACTGGAAGACCTGTTTACACTATTTATTAAAATATTTATAAAAAAAATATGGCCGACTTGTGCCCCAAAACTATTCCGTGACGTATTCACCGCTTAAGCAGTTGTCATACTCTGCGGGTGGAGGTACAGCTACCCAAATTATTTAAAAAAAAACAACTATTTTTGTTTTCAAAAGTGCAGTGGTTAAAATCAGTGTGTTGCAGACAGGTAACAAACGGAGCTGCGTCAAGTGTTTGCTGCGGGTACTACATCGGACAGGCTAAGAATGGGCTGTAGTGGATAGCGATGTTTTTTTTATCTTTAGACTTGTCAAAATTATCTCCACAATAGCTTAAATTGTCAAACATTTGACATAAGACAATTATTCGCCATCTTGAAAGAGAAAAATTCTGATTGGTTCGCAGAAATCATTTAGAATTTTTTTTCTATTCGAAGTCGATTACGTTGGCATACAAATGTAGATATAATATGACATTTTAGGCTTATTGGTTAATAGTTAATCATTATGGGCATTAAAAAAGTGTTTGAATTTAGTCTTGTTATAAAATAATGGGTTCATTTTGAATTCCAATTTCAATTCCATTCAGACAATTTCAATCACTACAGTACATTCGTAGCCAAAAGGGCGTATAAACAATTACTTTTTTAATTTTAAGGTCACATTTTTGAATATCCATTTTATCTTCATTTGTATTTTTAATAGTATCAATTTAATAAATTACGTTTATTAAATCATTCTTTTTTATTTCCGTTGTAATTATAAATATTAATTGGGGCGTGCTAATTAATAATTAAATCATAATTACAAGAAACCAATTCTTTTCATGTTTAATAATGTGACCTCAGTTATAACGCTCTTTTTGGTAGCAAATCCAGCCCGCAGACTATGACACACGGCCTTAGGGAACGTCTGCAAAACGTATTCCCCCCACGAACACTGCAATTCCGATTGCAGACGGGGATTACGTCCACATTGCAGACTTAACTCTGCAATTTACAATTAAATGTCTGCATTGTGACTTGCGATTGCATGTTGTCATTATTTGTGTTAATAATTACAATTACGATCAAAGTTGCAAACATATGCGTGATTTTTATTACTTTTTTGTATATTTTAAAATAAGGATTTTTAATATATTTTTTATTCTAAGGCCGTGTCAGTCTACGCTATCTTGTCCGATGCAGTATCGCTTAAAAATAGTTTTTAAGGTAATTTTAATCCACAATGCGATTTTTTTTGCACTAAAATTGAGCTTTGGATAATTTACAGCTTCAGAATCTAACTAACGCTAACTCTCTTTGTTAGGATTGGATGTCACAAAAAAATAGAATATAAATGTATATCATCATAAACCGTTTATAGTTCACTGCTGGACATAAGCCTCTGCTTAGGAAGAAGGTTTTGGGCTACTATGCCACTCAGGCCAGACGCGTTAGTTTGTTTCTAGTTTTCTTTCTCTTTGCTGTGCTGTTGTCCTGGTTAGTTTGCTCCCTTACTCGGATCTACCGACACCTACATCATTAATAAGGGTGGTGTCACTCTGTCTTCTTAATCTAATTAAGATTCTTGACATAACAAACCACCTTTTTTTAGCTTTTTAAATGTCACACTTGGTATGATACAAATCTTGTATTGAACAATTCAGAAGACTGATTTTCAGACATCTTATCAGACCTTTTCTTAGATTTCTAATGGAACTAGGTGTTGATCATGTCATTGTACACATATATACCCCCATCTTTTATCCCAAAGGGATAGACAGAAACGTATTACAAGCCCCATTTTAGTCCCACTCAGGTAATTACAAGCCTAATGCCGTCAACCCGTCACAAATCACATCAACAGTATTTAACAGTCACTGCTGGACATAGGCCTTTCTTTAGGAGGGTTTGGCGTACCATACCACGCAAGCCAGACGGGTTGGTGTCAAGTTTTCTTTCTTTTTGCAGTCCTGCGTAGTTTGCTCCCTTAGTCGTCTCTTACGACATCCACGGGATGTATAGGGGTGTTGACACTCCGTATTCTTAATCCGTCACCACACGGAAGACCACCCGCCACATATACTTCTAAGTAAAAATACTTATATATTTCTAAATATGTACAACTAACTGACAAACGCATTTTCGTCCCCTTCTCTCCCGACAGGATTTTCCCCATTTATGCAACATTTTTTATTGCTACACGGCTCCTAATGGTCGTAGCGTGATGTTATATAGCCTATATCCTTCCTCAATACAAGGGCTATCCAACACTAAAACATTTTTTCAGTTCGAACCAGTAGTTTCTGAGATTACGCCGAAAATACGAATTCACTAACTTTACCTCTTTAAAATATGAGTATAGCTAGGATAGATTTCTGGGTTAAATATTAGCTTATGTGCTATTCCAAATTGATACACAAATATCGTTTAGATTTGTTCATCGATATACAGGGTGTAAGGGACGGTGTAACGAATACAGAAGTAGTGTATTCAGACAATAATTTTCAGCCTGATTATTCATCTGTTTTTATTTAATTTTCCATTTTTTTTTTGTTAAAAATGATATCACGGTTTGTAAACAGAACATTTTATCGATTCTGTTTTAGTAAATACCGCGTACGGTCAAAAACTGCAATGTAATTAATCAAACAGCTGAAGCGCGCGGGGCCTCCCCCCGGTCGCCAACTTCCGTTAGTGTGCGTGGACTGTTCGCACGGAATACAAATGTAGTTATTACTTTTTTGCGATACCTACAAATACGTAATGGCCTTAACGTTTGGCGGCTCATTGCATAAAACGTTTGTTTTTCCGGCAGCAAATTCCAATGATTTTCGACACAGAATGATGGTCTGAATACCACTATTTCAGTATTCGTTACACCGTCCCTTACACCCTGTATAGATAACACGCATCTTTCCATATCTCTCAAATATAATAGTAGTCATCAACAGCCTTTATTAGTCCACTGCTAGACATAGGTATCTCTTTAGAAAAAAGGTTTTGGCCTACTATACCACGCTGGCCAGATGGGTCGGTATAGGGTTTGTTTCAAGTTTTCCTTCTCTTTCCAGTGCTGTTGTCCTGCGTAGTTAGTTCCCTTAGTCGGCTCTTACGACACCCACGGGATGAATAGGGGTGGTGACATTCCGTATTCTTAATCCGTCACCACATGGACATCGTATTAGTCATTAATATAATATTTATTTATAACCCTTTCGAATCCCATAGCGGCTGTAACTTTCTCTTTCGCAGATCATTTTGAAATTTGAGAAATGATTTTGATTTATTTCAAATAAGGTACTTCTGATTTAAATTGTGTCCCTCTTGTTCCGAGTACATAGTTGTTTGTTGGTGAATCTGTGATTCTTGAACTACAATTTGTATAGAAACTCTTATAAAGATGATTCGATAACAATTTCCACCCAGGCCCCTTTCTCCCACTGTCCAGGGCCCCTAGATCGATCTCCATTAATTCCTGCCACATCATCAATCGATAATCAATATTTTTAAATATCTCGATATAATAATCGATAATCTATCGGATAGGATCGATAAACCTCGATCGATCCCCATTAATTTCGGCCACATCACCAATCGATAATCAATATTCATCACCGAAAAACATATTTATTTCGAAAAATCCAGTTACAATAAATTACTTCAGCACTTTCTATTCTGTCTATTCTAACAAAATAGTGCTCAGTCAAGTTTGTTTTTGCCAAATTATATTAATGTGGTAACACGGGCCTATTGGCACCCTAAGAGCAGGTTCTAGAAAAGCCTGAAATAATTTCATAATTTCATGAGGAAAAAATGTAAATGTCCCCATCAGCAGCGATTTCATTTATCGTTAATTGCATCGTCTGAAAGTCATCGTCGTAAAAAAATAATTGCCTAACACAACCAATCAAACCGAGAGAGAGACCCGGCCACGCGCTCATGACTCCTGAGTTGCAGGCCCGAGTTGCATAGCATAACCCTTTAGCTCGTCTGCTCCCTCTACCGTAAAAAAACCTCCCTCCCCTCCATCACATAGGTCCAATACCAGGTCAGGGAATTGCTAAATCCAATCGATAAAGAGAGAATACCGAATTATGTTGATAATGTTAAATAAGAACTGAAATTAAAAATCAAAGCATTGTGGATTAAAACTGAAACCTTAAAGCAAACACTCCTAAGCTCTCCGTTTGTTTACAGAAATCTGACCAATCCACCGCAGAAGAAGAAAGAAAACAACCCACTCCACCCCCTGAACAATGGGCGGATATACTCGGCATACCTGGCGAGAAAGCCGAAAACTCTAAGACACCAGCCAAAAAGTCTGGCCGAAGAGCCACCGATAGCACATCCAAAGTCGAAAAATCCAAACTCGAAAAAACCAAATCAAACTCCACTGAAGACGAAGCCCCATCTCCAAAGCAGCTTAGATCATCGAAGAAAGAGTTACAAACACCGGAAAAGAGTGAAAAGACATCTCCTATCAAACCACCACCAAAGAAGCGGCGACCAGAGGAATTCGATTCGCCTGAACAGGACGATTTACCGCTGTCTATGGTCCCTAAGAAGTTGGAGAAGAAGAAATCGGAGAAGGTCAGACGGAGGATGAAATCTGAAAAGGATTAGTGTTTAATGTATTCATTTTTCGGAAAATGATTTTAGTGACACACCGCACCCCATAAGACACTTTAAAAGACTTCTATAAAGTGGGTACACAAATAAATGTGCTGTATAAATTGGTTATGTTTCGAATGTAAACGGTGTACATAGATTAAGGACTGTTGTATGGTGTTTTTGATCTTTTCATACGATTGTTTGTGATTTATTGTTTTGTTCGCTCTCATAACGTGTGATGTGACGTCACAGTACACGTTCAGCTCATGTGCAATTTTTTTTAACTTATTTACTATTATTATATGTTGTACATGAAATAAATAAACCATTTAAGGTTTTTTTACAATTCTACATTCAGTAGTATTTATACAAAATTTATTGCACAAATTATTTATAAAACTAACTTTTGCAATTTGTCTATGATTTTTACCGGAATAAAATGTAGCCTTTGTGCTATTCCATATTATAATCTATCTCTTGTGTAAAATTACATAAAGATCAGTTCAGCCGTGCTGGCGTGATTGATTAACAAATATGCATCGAAATTGGTTATTTTACTCATATGTGAAAGGAGGGTTTTTAATTTATTTAAGTATATTTTTCTTTTGTTAGTTTGGGTGCTTTCGCCATATTGTTGGCTACGTCATATACGATTATTCACGAATTTTAAAAATGTATATCTTACTCAATTAACTGACTTAAAAGCAGTTCCTAATAATTGGCTAAATCAATGTTTTTTTCTTAGTGTTTGAAGACATTTAAATAACAGACCATGTTTTGACATGTTAACAGATAGTCACTACAGTCTGACTGGCACCCCTTTTTTTCTGTGCGGAAATCCCCTCGGATCCCACTCACCGGTGGCAATGTTGGACTCGAACCGACTAAAACCGCACGCCGTCTCAGGTACCAGTAGTCGGGGAACCAGGTGTACCCTAGAAAGGAAATCCCTGGTGCCCCGACCTCTGACAGGTACCACTGGACTATGGTGTAGTACATAAATCGGTAAGACGGATTTTTGGAATAGGGTTGATGTTGATTTAACTGTCAAGTGAAAAATACTTTTACTAAACGTCAAAACCCTCCGTATTTTTTTGTTTGAAATAGTAAGGTATGACGTCACGTCATTCTTTTTAAAAAACTTTGAAAAAAGTTGGATTTGTTATAAAATAAAATAGAAACGGTAAAATAAATGTGGATATCAATTTTCATACTATTTTAAGTTATTTCATTGTAAGTATTGGTGTAATAATTTATATTATGAGCATAGGCCAAATTAAACCAACCCAACCCATGATGTCCGTCCCTCTACCATGAAACGGTAGGCCTTTTACCCAATTGGCACTTGACCACAACTAAAGTTATTTTAGATCTTTTTTAAAAACATATAATTATGTATGTTCTTTACTTTATTTAATATTATCGAAATGATCACTTATTAGGGCACATCCATAAGTTACGTCTTCCTTGTAAAGGGTCACTGATGATGATGATGATGGACATTACGTGACCTACAAACTTGTGACGTCGTGTGTTACTGTTTAAAATATTCACAACAAAAAACATTGAAACAAAAATCTAAATTTTTTTTTATTAAAAAAAGACAACTCCCGCATTAGGAATAAATCCTGTGTCGCGGGGGACTTTACAAACATACATGAAACGGACACAAAGAACACCCAGACTCGGAACAACAATTTGTGGATCACACAAAGTGTCGTCCCATGCGGGGTTTGAACCCACAACACTCGGCGTAGTAGGAAGCGGCGTGGCGACCGCTTAAACCACTACGCCATCCGTGCGGTCAAATCTTATATCTAGTATATCTAGCAGTTATCTAATATAATATATCTAATAAAGATTTTATCTTCATTTTTTGTGTTAAAAGTCCACCGAAACAAGGAGATCCATTCTATCCTGAGATCTTACATGCATACACTCACGCCGATTACCCCCAAGGCAGACAGAGGTGCAATTAATCGTTCGTTAATTAATAATAAAATAATAATAATAACTTCACACACGGCTGTCTGATCCCAAACTAGGCAGAGCCTGTGCTATGGTGACCAGACTGCTGATAAACATACTTATATATTTTTTAAATACATACATATTATAGATACCCAGACACAGAACAAATGTCAGTGCTCATCACACAATATTTGTCCTGGGTGGGAATCGAACCTCAGGCATAGCAGTCAGGGTCATTAACCACTAGACTAACAGGCTCGTCAATTTATTAAAATGTTTTAATTGACGTTGATGTTATTTGTAAATAATAATAATAATATTCTACCACATTCACACAACGCCATCTAGTCCCAAACTAAGCAGAGCTTGTACTATGGGTACTAGACAACTGATATAAATACACTAGCTGACCCGCGCAACTTCGTCTGCGTCTCTCAATAGTAATAAATTTTCTCCGTTTTTGAAACATTCTTCATTGGTGCTCCGCTCCCATTGGTCTTAGCGTGATGATATATAGCCTATAGCCTTCCTCGATAAATGGGCTATCTAACACTGAAAGAATTTTTCAAATCGGACCAGTAGTTCCTGAGATTAGCGCGTTCAAACAAACAAACAAACTCTTCAGCTTTATAATATTAGTATAGATACATACTTTTTTTTTGTAAATACATACATATTATACATAGAAACACCCAGACCAAATCAAACATTAAATGTTCAAACACACAAATGTTTGACTTGAGCGGGAATCGAACCACTATGCCATCCGGTCGTCAAATAATAGTTTTGTTCTTTTGTTTAAATATGCGACGTCTTCACAGGGGTCAATTGGTCACAAAAATGTTGCCAGACCTGACAAAACGCGGACAGGTACAAAAAATATATCATGACATAGGTGTGACGTAATCTATGGATGACCTGTAATTTGATTCTTCAATAATATGAGAGATCGTATGCAATGATCAAACACATGTGTCGGCAATATTTATACTACCCACAAAGCAAGCTCAAAAAAGTGAATAAAATAGTTTTTTATCATTAAATAGCAAATAGGATGTACGGACTGGTCGACGCACTTTGATATAAGCCTACATTGTCTTTGAAAACGGTGACTCACGCCGGTCGGTGGTGATGGTGATAAATTCACACAAATTAGGCAGTGGTGCTAATTCTATTGTTCGGAAACTCTCTAAACTAAAAAAATCACTGAAAATTTGTTTCGTCCTGTCAAATAACGTTTCCTGTTCTGAAAACGTAGAATTTGGTAGTATTAACATTTTTTTTAGGGATTTTTAGAACGAAGTTCCTTATCGCGCGTTGTGAAAGGGGGCTAGACGGAAAAAAATCTCACGAAAAGTTGTAACGACACTTTTTATGTCAGTCATTCAGCGCCATCTATCGAATAGATAGGAAATCATTACTTTTCATCTCAGTATTTATTTTGAATTGTCACTTGTCAGTCATTCAGCGCCATCTATCGAATAGATAGGCAATCATTTCTCAAGGAGATTTTATCAATGTATAAATTGTTTTAATTAGAAACCAACTGAAAAATATGTAGGTAATAGCCGCTTTCATAGATGGCGTTGTAATTAAAATCGTGTCGAATCAGTTTTACTCGATCGTCACAACTTCGTTCCTATCGGGTGTCCCACGACACCACACGGCTTTTTAGTTTAGTTTAGAGAGTTTTCGAAGAACAGAATTAGCACCAGTATCTGTACTAAGGTAACCAGACTGCTGATAAACATACTTATAAATATCTAAATACATACATATTATAGATAAATTACACCCAGGCACAGAACAAATGATAGTGCTCATCACACAATTATTTGTCCTGGATGCGAATCGAAGCCACAATCACCGGCTCAGCAGTCAGGGTTACTGCTAGAACAGACCCGTCAAACTCGACCATATGCCTATAAAAATACCACATTCACTCAATAGATAATGTAGGCTAGCTGTTTATATTAATAATAAAATTTGAATATTTTATTTCTTAAATTGCCAGGATAAAAACTGCAATTTTGCATTTTTTTTAACTAGCAACATTGGTACACTTACGTACTACAGTCACTTCTAAGTGTTAAAAATTATTACCCATTTTTTTAATTTCATCAATATTCTTCTAAGAAACTTTTAAACGCAATAATTATTCTTTTCGCCACGAAAAACACGTCTTTTTTATTATTTATCACGAAAAATACATTCCGAAACCTTATTTATACATAAATAAACCAACCAACCTAAATCCTTCCCCCCCCCCCCATTCGCAGAGCGACAACTTCAGTTGCAAGGCGATGGCAGGTCGCTTATCATCAGATGTGTTTGCCCCCCTATACCATAAAATACATCGATTTTCTAGAAAGTCCCAAGTCCACCGGTGGGCATCTAAAATAGTCGTTAAATTTATGAAAACGGTGTCTCTCGGCTTCGTATGACCTCTGCCACCCACGGGTATTATACTAGGTGCGGCCGTTGGGTATTACGTCAACGAAACCCTGAAATCCATTTTTATTAAATAATATTTAACGTCGAACAGTCTGCGCACTCCTATTGCATAAATAACGTTAAACCTGAAATGCACATGCTATTTAGCATATAAATAGCGTGCTATACAACTGTTAATCAGCATGCTATTTTTAGTAACGAAATTTTTGGGGTGTTTAGATAGGATTTGGGGATCGTTGTTGAAGGTTGTGGTGTAAAAAGATGGATAGTATTTTTCTATCTAAATTAGCAAATATCAATGCGCTATAAATAGCAAGTGTATGGAAGGACTTATTAATATTTCTAAATATTTGTAACGAATTCGGAAATTGTAAATATAACAAAATTTTATACATCTAAGTATTAATTATAAGTTGTATTTTAATAAACTAATACAAATGGCGTTTAGCATACATGTCATTATAATTCATACAGTACAATAGTCAATATTTTATTGACGTTTTGTATGCGAAAAACAAGATTACGACACCCGGATTTGAGCAAAGTAGACTGGTAGACATCTCTACGCTTTTCTTGTCCTAGACAAA